AAATATACAATGATGAACTTGGGGGATTTGGGGAGGGGAAAAAAAAAGCAGAAAAAAAAAACTTTCCAACAAGTAAAATTTCAGGCTCAGCTTGATTCACTAGCAAATTCTTCAAAATATTTAAGGATAAAATAACGCCAATTTTACATAAATTCTTCCAGAAAATAGAAGGAATATATTTCAACATTTTACGAGGCCAGCATTATGCTGATATCAAAACCAAACAAGGACATTACAAGAAAATAAAACTACGGATAATTTTATAGACATAAATATCCTTGACAAAATGTAAGCAAATAGAATCCAGCAATATAAAAAGGAAGAGACTGTCTCCAAAAGGTTATGAAGAAACTTTGCAGGTGATAGAAATGTTTTATATTTCAATTGTGGTGTTGGTGTCATAACTATAAACATTGGTTAAAACTCACCAAGTTTTGTGCTTATAATTGTTGAATTTCATTGTATGTAAATTATACCTCAATAAAGATGACTACCAACAACAAAAATCTGACCATATGTTAAGTTAGAAAGGAAGCTTTTGAAACATAGAAAAATTGGTATAAAAATCACCTTCTTTTGTATATGCATTTAGATTAGAAATGAGTAACAACAAGAATTAAAAGAACTGTGTAGTTTGGAAACTAAAAAAACAGACTCAGCTACCCTGTATTCCCTCCTTTACCATTTACTATATCATCTAACCAAACTCCACCTGTGGTTACGATGAACTCTGCCCACTCCGTGCCTATGGAGCTGAACTTAACTGAGGAGAAAAACAGAAATCCAAACAAGCTGACTGGTTTCATTTTAAATTCACCACCACCACCCTTGAAATGGGCCCTTAATGATATAGAGCAATTCTAGTCAATTTCCCTTGTCTTTTCCATTTCTTATTCCTTCTCCTAGACAGCCCTTTCCTCTCTCCTTAAAGCTCTCATGTCTTCTCTTCCCTTCTCATTCTCAACTGCTGACCTAGCTTCTTATTTTAATAATAGAAGCCATCAGCAGAGGAACTTCCACAGGCTTCAAATAACAGATCTGAAAACGTACCTGAATCATGAACCAAATATTCTCTGCCTTCCTTCCTATTATCATGGATTAAACTGCCACGCTCCTATCTAACGGTAACCCTCCAGGGGATCACATCTTCTCTGATCTACTCAAGGACACTATTCCAGCAACTGTTCCTCTCTCATCGATCATTTCTATTAGTGTAGAAATACGAAGTGACATCTCTCATCTTAAACAAAAGCAAAACAGCAACAACAAAAATTCACCACTTGACTCCCTACATCAACCTGTTAGCTACCCTTTAGCTATCACTATTTCTTTGCTCCTCTTTCAAGTAAAATCTCAAAACAGTTTCTCTTCATTCTTCTCCTTCACGCGCTCTCAAATCCAATCTAATCATAGTTTGTCTTCACTACCCCAGCAAATATGTCCTTGTGAAAGTCAGCAATGATTTCACATTGTAAAATTCAATGATTGATTTGCAGTTCTAATCTTTCTTATCAGAAACATATCACACAGTTTAATAAATTTTCTTCGTGATACACTTTTATTACTTAGCTTCTGTAAGGCAATTTTTTTCTTCCCATATTTAATTTACTGCTTTCTCCATCTCTTGTTCTTCCTCATTTCTCTGACCTCTAAACACTGGCATTCTCCAGACCTGTACTCTACCTGCTCACTGTATCAGTTTTCTTCAATTTTTTTCACAGCAACCATGGTAAACACACACATAACAATAAAAAACATTTTATATTGTGACCCAAAGCATACCTAGGTACCTGTGTGTCTTTATATAATTAAAAATTTCCACTAATATTAAAATCCTGGTCCCAAACCAATAAATTGATTTCATGTCTTAAAAATGAGTTACAATCTACAGTTTGAAAAACACTGCCCTACATACTAACTACCATATTTTCATATCTAGTTTTATCCTATTTCCTGAACTCTAGATTTATATATCCAACCACTTCTTCAACATTTATATTTAGACATTTAATAAGAGCTTTACATTTCATGGGTCAAAAGCTGAATTCTTAAGTTTCCCATTCCTCTTCAAAAACTACTCCTTTGCAGTCTTTTCCCTCCTATATCTGACACTTAAGTAAATAGCAAACTCCAATTTTCTAGTTGCTTAGGTCAAAAAACCTGGAGTAATATTTTTTCCTGAAGGGCAGGGCATTGGCTTCTTTTCTCTGTATTTCTTCCGCCTGTAACCAGTTACATCTGCTGAGGGGATAAATATGTGCCAGGATTTCACAATATTTCACCAAACAGGTCCCACGAATATGCGGGTGGCAGGACTGAATCAAACCGTCCTCGAACTCAGCAGAGCTGGCAGTTGGGCAAGTGACCTTCACATTCTTGCCAATTTTCTTTGACTACCTCTCCGAGACGTCTTGTTGGAATACGTTAAATCTTGACTTTTCTCTTTCTCTTGCATCACACTTTCTTAAAAGGCGTTCAATCTGTCATCTTCATGATTTACTCGCTCACTTCCTTCAAAGTTCTCCTCTAATACCACTTCAAAAGTGAGGCCTTCTGTGATATCCTTATATAAAATAACACCATCTCACTCCTCATGGAATTTTCCCAGTGCTATTACCCAGGTTTGTTTTTTCTTCAAAGTACTTATCACCATCTGTGTATTGTCTATCTGCACCAACTAGAATGTAAGGTCTATGGGAACAAAGATTTCATCTCTTTCTCTTTCTCACTTTGCTATACTCCAGCATTTGGAACAATGCCTGGCAGTGAAATGTAAATGAATGTCTAATTTTCAGTAGTACGTACACAAATCACAGGCTGAATCTAATGTGATCTATACTGGGAATCACCATCCTTATTGGGCTTCTTCTATATACCTTGTGGTTTTAAAAGAATGGTTCTCTGCTGTTGTGGCATCCAATATACAAAACAGAGGAAGATTGGCAGAGATGTTAGCTCACGGACAATCTTCTTCAAGCAAAAAGAGGCAGATTGAGGGCTGGACCCATGGCTGAGTGGTTGGGTTCATGTGCTTCACTTTGGTGGCCCAGGGTTTTGCTGGTCCAGATCCTGGATGCGGACCTGGCACCACTCATTAAGCTATGCTGAAGTGGCATCCCACACAGCACAACCAGAAGGACCTACAACTAGAATATACAACTACATCCTGGGTCCACTTTGGGGAGAAGAAGAAAAAAAAGAAGATTGGCAACAGATGTTAGCTCAGGTGCCAAAAAAAAAAAAAGAGGCAATGGGCAACCGATGTTCACTCAGGGCCAATCCTCCTCACAAAAAACAAAACAAAACAAAATAAAACCAGGGGCCAGCCCAGTGGTGTACTTAACCAGTACTTAACTTCACGTGCTCCACTTCAGCGGCCTGGGGTTTGCAGGTTCAGATCCCCAGCAGAGACCTAGCACCACTTGTCAAGCCATGCTGTGGCAGCATTCCACATAAAATAGAGGAAGATTGGCAACAGATGTTAGCTTAGGGCCAATCTTCCTCACAAAAACAAAACAAAACAACAATCACAAAAAACGAATGGTGCTCAATCTTTTAAAACAACAGTTCTCAATCTTTTTCCAAGATGAGAGATATCACATCGTATTTCTATGCTAATAGATTCAATGTGAGGAGTATAGGAAAGAGCATAATCCCATCAGTACTGGTAACTAATGTCAACAATCTATATATTCTAGGATCAAGCTAGGCCATCAATGTCTCTTAGACCACAGTACCTGGGCTGCCTTTGAAACAGTTTTCACTGATCTGCACTTTGGTGCTTTGCGATTGGCTTCGATGAATGATGCTTTACAAAACATATTTATATCATCACCACTATCACAGTAAAAAGAGTAGTTTAAAAATATCATTTATCATCTACTAGGTGCTTTATATGTATCAGTTCACTGAATCCTTGTAAGAATTACTATTATTCCTATTATACTCCTCTTTTAACAATGAGGGAGCTGAGACTCAGAAGGTAAGTAACTTTCCTAAGATCATAAACATGGTAAACCAGAAGAATTAAGTGTTTAGAGCATAGTATATCCTATACCAAACCTCATGCTCTTAATTGCTATACTATGATGCCCTGCTATAACATTCTACCTGAGAAATTTATGTAAGAACTAAGTTCCAGAGAAAGTCTGCATTTCTCTAAAGAACTAGACAATGATAGCTATATAAAAGTGTCAGTGCCTCACTGTTTACTTTACTCTCCAAGAACTAAACACTCAATTCACGTATATAAGTGAATAAGTCTTTATGGCACATATAGTTCCTTGGGTCTTGACCTCTTCATCTAATTTACATTTAACCTAATTCTTTATACATTTCCTGTATATCCTATCATCCATCTTTAAAATGCATATACTCCACTGGGATTGTTATATTAGAACACTTGAAACATTATAAAATAAGCAGGAAAACTCAGCTGTTCCAATATAAGAACCCAATCAGGTACACACGTTTTAAAAGAGAATACAAGGCAAAAGAAATGGAATCGCAATGGTAGACTGGGTGATATGTTTGGTATTCAAGAGTTTAAAAGAATGGCTCTGGGCATAGCAGCTAAGAGTATCTATAGTCACTCAGATTACAGTAACTTCTCTGGGAGGAGGTAAGCAAAGGTAATATATAAAAGACCAACCACTTTCTTTCTCATTTCCTACCATATAGCCCAACTTTAAGGAAGGCCAAACTCCTTCGTAAGGTACTACTCATAAGGTAACAACTTAATAAAGACTTATTTTGGCATCCTGAGAAGTTTCTAATTACTATTCTACATCAACACAAGAATCTTTTCTCAAAGAAAAATTCACAGAACATTCTACTTAAAGGCAATTGTTGTTGATAACAGTATCGACAACTTAAAGATGAGCTATGTATAAAATTTCTAACAAAAAATAAAGTGCATTACTATCAGTAAAATCTATGTTTTTTGAATGCTCAAAGAGAATATAAACCACAATAATCTTTTGGACAAACTATAAACTTACCTTAGCTACTTCTTCTTCTAATCGTTCTTGGTATTGCCTTTCCAGCAATGTAACCATATTTGTTTCCTGTTTCACTCCAAATTCACCAGAAAACTAAAAAGCAAAATATGACATACTTATTTACACTAATTATACACTACTTATTTTTACACTACTACTCTAAAATATCCTCAGATCATCACTATTTCTTAGAAAACTTCTGAGAAATTTCAGTAAATACTTTTCAGTTCTGTTCTCTTAATTAAAAACAGTAATTCTGGCGAATAATTCTACTGTATAATTCTACTAAATAATTGTACTTACTACTGTGAACTTAACAAAGACAGAAAGTGAGAAATATATTTACATATTTACAACTATTAACATATAGTTCTAGGATGGGATAAAGATACTTCTTCAATATAATTAATAAGATGTGTGTGTATTTGATTTTAAGTAATGTTAACAGAATCTTTCTTTGCTTATTAATTATAAGCAAATTTTCTTTTCTTCTTGGTACTTATTAATAGTATCCAATTTTCTACAAAGACAAATTACTTTTATAAATAGAAAAAACCATAAATGGTTTTTTAGAATGCAAACATGTTCTCAGTATGGAAGTATTTCTTTCTTTACCAATTATCTGAATGTCATCTGAACAGCAGTCCATATAGGAGTGTGAAAGAGTTAAGAATGTGGCCAACATCTCTCCTCTGTATCCCGAGTAAGAGAGGGCATTCTTTATTTTCTGCAGGACTTAAGAACGAAAAATCTACTAAGTAAAGACCAGGGTTCGCAGTTATAAGTTTGAGAAAAGTGGCCACAAATTGGGAATATATACAATGTTGAGGAAAAGCAGAAGGTGATTTAGCTAGATGGCATATACTGTAAAAGATGAAGAGCTTTTCTATATCATATAAATGATGCTTTTATATATCATATAAATGTGCTGAAAGAAACGTCATCCACTGTCCCAGCCCTAGCATCTTGAATTTTGGGGATTCCTAAATGCTATTCTAAAGATGGTCTGGTCCAGCCTCCCCTGGTGGGAAGACAAGCTGTTGGCCAGGGCACTGAAACTAATTTGTTACACAGTCCATGTTATACAAAACAGCACAAATTTTAAACCAGAATATGTTTAGGAGGAAAACCCCTCAATTTTAACTTTCTCTGTGTTTCTCCTATGCTATGAAAATACATTAAATTACTTATATACTCTTCTGGTTCTTTTATATAAGGTATTATCTTCATATTTATTATGCTTACTTCTCAGCAACTATTCATTGGATAATTACTAAACCACAGACATCAAATGATAGTAAGAAAAAAATCAGTGTACGTAACAGTTTAAAGGTATAATACCTCTATTGTACCATCAATGTTCTGTTTTAGACAACTTCCAGGGTATACTGTTTTCTGTATGTCAGATTCAGTAATTGTCATTGAGTCAACAGAGAAACTAAAATATAAATAAAAGAGAATGAAAGAATTAGAGTTGTGTGTGAGTTTTACTGTTAGACCAAATTTATAGCATGCATAAAATGTGTTTTAGGTCGGGGGAAATAAAAAGGACAGGTCAAGAGTTATAGGTATTGTAACTTAAATGATATTTTTAACTAATTTTTGACTAATTTTGACTAATCATCATTGTGACACTTAAAAGTAAAGTAACACAATTGAATAATAGAGTATTTTAACAGATCACCATTCAATTTCATGCCATTTTATAGTCTACTACAAATGTATGACATGGAGCTATTTATAGGTACATTTTTAAAAAGTTATCTGATATTATTGAGTAAAAAAGTTTGTAAAATCTCATTTTTATTAAAAAATTATTTTCACACACACATATATACACATAGAAAAAAGTCTGGAAGAATATATATCAAAAGTAACAATGATTACCTCTCGTGGAAATGGGGAGCAGTGACAGTGAAGGGAAGATTCTTAATTTATACCTAGTCACTTCTGGATTTCTTTGTTTTTAATCTATTCCCCTGTATCTTTTGGTATTCATGACTTTATTCTGTATTGCTTTATAAGCATTCACTATTTTGTAAAAGAAATTTCTTAAAATACTTAATTGGGGTCATAAAAACAAGATTAATATTTAGGAACCGAGGGAAAAAGATTAAAGGGGTAAATTATAATTTTCTTTTTAGCTAATACAATTTCTCACGCCCATTTTCATGTGCGCCCATGTTGCCTTCTTATTTCTACCCTCCTCTTGCCCAGTTCTTCCTGTGCTCTTCTAACTTTCATTTTGCCCCAAATTGGCCAGATACAAGTTGTCATTGTCCCAGTTCATAAATTACATAACTAACCCCCTAGTGATAAACATTTGGTTGTTTCTACATGTTCACTATTCAAATAATGCTACAGTATAAATGCTCATAAATATATCTTTGCACACATCTGTGGATCTTTTTATATGATAAAATCTTATAAATGTTAGGCTTCATATTTAAAATTTTAATATAATGCCATATTCCAAAAAGTTACATTATAATTTTATTCCCATAACAGTATCGTTTAAGTATTTTCTCAAAACTTCAGCAATATAGTGTTGTAAGCAATCTTAAAACTTCGTTAGAACATGTACGTCTATATTTTTGAGATTACACATTCTTTCAAATATTACTGGCCTTGTAAGTTTCCTCTGCTGTGAAATGACTATTCATGTGTTCTAAGTTCATGTTAAACAACTGTAAAAACTTGTTTTCCTTGTCTTTCTTCTCTGCTCTTTCCTGGTTCTTCTCTCTCACCATTTTGTCTGTTTCCTCATTGCTTCTTGCACATACTATTCTGATCTTTGGCTTCATGTCTTGATTCTTATTTTCATTGCCTAGAAATTCCTCCTGATTATTTTTCCTCCTATTAAGACCTAAACTCCAAAAATTGCTACTTAGTCCACAATGATGTCATTCTGTAGCTTTATTACATTTGAAAGTGTTCATCTCAAATTCACAAAAACAGCCTGGCTAAAACTGAGTTCACTGCTCCCCTCTTACATTGAGGTCCTACTCCCCACTTGCCTGCTTTCTCTACTTGTATGAATGCACTGTTATTCTCCATATTCTCTAGGTCAAACACCAAGGGGTCATCTTTGATTTTCCCCTCTGCTTTGCTCCCAACATTCCTTCCATCTCAATATCTCATATTTATTCCTTCATTTCCATTTCCCCTGGAGCCACTCCAAAAGGCAATATTACAGAAATGTGCAGCAATGGGCAGTGAAAAATGCCACACAAACATGGGTTTAAAGTCCAGCATTTTGACTGTACCACCATGTTGTATTTCCCAACCACTGGTTTTTAAAAGTTATTATTTTGTGAATAAGTATTATTTCAGTGATTAGACTGAAGTTGCTTGAGGGAAAGGGCCACTTTATATATAGTCATGCAGCTCATAACAACGTTTCAGTCAAGGATGGACCACATATAAGAGAGTGGACCCATAAGATTAATACCATATAGATTAGGTGTGTAGTAGGATATATCATCTAGGTTTATGCAAGTACACTCTCTAATGTGAGCACAATGACGAAATCACCTAACAACGAATTTCTCAGAACGTATCCCTGTCGTTAAGTGACACGTGACTGTGTATCTAAAGCTTCCTCCATGGCATCTAGCCAAGGCTCTTCCCAGTCACTATTTCATTTAATCCTCACGGTCTTAAGGGTAGTTTTTATTGCCCCTAATGTGACTTAGACATGTTTAAATAATCTGCTCAAGATCATAAAACATGCAAAAGGTTAAATCAGGAGTCAAATGCAGGTCTGTCTGACTCTAAAATCTGTGGTTGTTCTAATGCCATACTATATCCCTAAGAGGCTTCTAGTATGACATCAGCAAATATTTGTTAAATGAATGACTCTATTATTTTTCTTAAACTAGTTCATGTCTATTTAGGAGAACAGTATACTATTTATCTGAAAATGTTACAGTTGTGTCCAAATATGTGATGACGTTTACAAGAAGTAACTGACGAATTACTGTTAGTAAGAGTGAACGTGGCAGCCAGTAAACCTCTTTTTTGCGGGGGCGGGAGAGGTGGCAAGAAAACTAATGGTTTTCACTGAGGTATTACCAACACATTTCCACTTAGTATTACAGAACTCTGAGAAAGGGTGCTAAGTTGGCAAAAATACAAATGCAGTAACAGTAAAGTAAGTCTACACTTCCAGAAAACTCCCTTTTCTTCATGCTTTGGAGAGAAAGCATCATTAATTAAAGGAATGCTACTTGAAATACTATAGCTGGTTATAAGAGAGTTTTGCTATCTACCTATTTTCTTTTATATCAGAAAACCTAGAGTAGTGGTTTCCAAATGTCAATCTATGGACTGCCTGCATCAAAATTATCTTTTACAAATACAAATGTCCAGGGTCCATCTCAAAGCTATTGAGTCTGATTCTCCAAACGTATAATCTAGTAATCTGTAATTTTAAGTATTCAAAAAATAATATTAAATTTCAAAAACCTCCAGTGTTTCTGACGCATGGTCAAGTTTGGGAACCACTGATCTCAAATAAAATGGAAGACTTATAAGGTTGTGCCAATGCTGGGTGAACAATTCTAAAGCCTTCACACAGATCTTGAATAAAACAAAGAGAAACAGACCACTTCCAAAGAAGTGTGGACATTCAGTATTCTGTCTCCAAAAATAAAAACTGTCTTGAGCTTCCATTAAAAAGTGCCTATGGAGACATCAATCCTAGAATAGCAGAGCCAGCCAAAATTAGATCAAATCTCTGAGGGTTTTATAGAGCTAAATACTATACACACTTCCCAACTACATTAGAAACTGTTCATTCATTTAACAAATATTTATTGAACAACTACTATGCATAGGGAATTATTACAGGGTTTGGAAGACATCAGTGACTTAAACAGACAAAAATCCCTACTCTTACAAAGCTTGAAGTCCACAGGAGACAGACAATAAACAAAACAAACAAAAATAAACTCCCTTCTAAATATATAGACTTGTTTTTTATTTTATATATATAAAACAGATAATAGCAAGTAATATAGAAAAAATGAAGCAGGAAATTAGTACACAGAGTTCTCACACATGATTTTAATTTAAATAGGATGATCAGGATAAGTCTCATGAGAACATGACATTTAAGTAAAGATCCAAAGGAGATGAGTGTGTCAGGCATACAAACATCTGGAGAAAGATCATTCTAAGAAGAAATGGCAGTGAGAAGTCTCTAAGGAAGCAGCATGCTGACAGTGTGAGGATCTCAAGGAGGTCACGTGGCTTGAGAATAGTTAGTGACAGGCAAGTTAGCAGGAGATAAAGTCAGAGAAGTAACAGGGACCCATCATGGTGGACCTAGTAAGGCACTGTAAGGACAGAAGAGCACTGGCATAACACGATCTGTCTTAAATTTTAAAAGCAAAGCTGGAACTGTGTTGAGAACAGACTTTAGGAAAGAGTTAGGGTGGAAGCAGGGAAATCAGGTGTTGCAGTAACCCAGGTGAGACATGATGACGGCAGGGACCAGGGGACTGGTGAGAAGTGGGCCAGTTTGGATGTATTTTCGAGGTGGAGACAACAGGATTTCTTGATAGAGTGGAAGTGAGATATGAGAGAAAGAGGAGCCACCACAGATACAGATGGCTGCAGAAGGAGCCAATTTTGAGGGGAAGATTCAGAGCTCTATTTTGGACATGGTGAATCTAAGAATTAGACAACCAACTGGAGGAAGTCTAGCCATAACTGGAATGAATATATCTTACATTCCTGTGTATTCCACACATCACAGTAGCAAAGACTAGGCATACAATAAACAACAAACACATGCACATTGCCTGATTTGATCCAACAGCTTAATAATAACCAGTATCTTTATAAAATAAGGGTGTAAGTAAAATTCCTATAATAAAATGTCTTTGGTTTACACCAACTTTTATTTCACACATTTCAAAGACAAAGAATTATCTCTTGCTCTTATTTCTTTATAATGCTACCTCCCATCTATTTCAAGCAACTCTGCCTTAGTTACACTTGTTTCTTAAAACAACCATACTATGATTGTTACTAAGCTACAAATACAGTAGTCTCCTCTTATCTGCAGTTTCAGCTTCTGTGGTTTCAGTTACCCAGTGTCAATCATGATCTAAAAATATTAAATGGAAAATTCCAGAAAGAAATAATTCATAAGTTTTAAACTGTGCACCACTCTGAATAGCATGATGAAATCTGGTGCTGTCTCACTCCCTCCAGCCCGGGACACCACCTCACAACGCCTATGTCATTCACTTCACTTCATCTCATCATGCAGGCATTGTATCACCTCACATCATCACAAGAAGGGTGAGCACACTAAAATAAGATATTTTTACAGAGACCACATTCACAGAACTTTTATTATAGTACATTGTTATAAGTGTTCTATTTTATTATTGTTGTTGTTAATCTCTTACTGTGCCTAATTTATAAATTAAACTTAATCATAGGTATGTATCTATAGGAAAAAATATAGTATATATATGTGGTCTGGTACTATCCACAGTTTCAGGAATCCACTGGGGGTCTTGGAATGCATCCCCCATGGATAAGGGGGACTACTGTACTACTGAATGAAATTATACGTAGGTAGTTACCTTGGCTGAATTGTGGACTCACTCATAGCTTGAAGCCTTTCCTGCAAACCATGGATCTCTGCCTCATAGTTTTCCTCAGTCTCTTTCAATTTCTGCTGCAAAGAGGATATGAGGTTTTCTAATTCTTGAACTTGTCCTTCAAGTTGTTTAATTTTTTCCATATCTTGCAGAGTAGATAACTTGCTTTTATGACTGACATCTAAGTTATATGAATAGAGAAAAACATATATTTCAATACAAGTTTCTTAGTGAAATAACACAATCATTTTTGTGTGTGTGCAGAGAATATTCATTCTTCTTTGAAACAACGTTTTTTAGTACTAATAACCCAGGTTTCAATTTAAACTCATTTGACTGATGAAAACATGATTACAGGAATTCAAGATCCTTTCTTCTATCTTCATGGCTGTAGTACCCCTAAATTTACCCATTTTATGTTTTTAAATTGAAAACAATTTAGAATCACAGAATGTAAGAAGAGGGAAAGGATCAAAGAGCTAAGTGGTCCAAACGTTTCATTTTAAGGATGAGAAAACTGAGACCAGAGAGGTTATAGTGAAATGCCCTAAGTGACCAGGTTGGCCCAAATTTTAAAGGAAAAGATCAAATTACTGAATATTTGGTATAGAAACACATTACAGTATATAATCAAAATTTACCAATGTCTTGCAAATTGGTCATCTGAGAGTGGGTTGATAAAAACTCTGTTTCCTCATTTGGTAGGTTTTCTTCTGCAAATTCAAGTTTCACATCATCTGTCTGCTGTCCCTGAAGCTATTGAAAATAACAGAAGAAAAGCAGTGACGTAGATACATGACCTCAAATTTTTAAAACTAGCAACTTTACATTTAAAATGTTTTTTTCAAAATCACCTAAAATTGTGACACTCTGATACAAATATTTTCCCTTCCAAGTTACTCCAGGCTTTCTTTTGACACAGTAATTCACATCCCATTCCCTTTAAACGACTGAAATCATATTAGAAAGTATAATGTTCTTTCATATCCACAAGAAAGTTCATTGTACTGCAAAAACAGAAGCTGCACAGAATTTTGGTACAAAGCTCACAACATTTATAATATTACTTGGTCTTTGAAATTTCAACTCATACATAGTAAATTTTATATTATCAACCTTTGATAACATAACTGTTATTAATCTCTGGATATAAATTATGTACAACCAAGTAACTGACATATGGTATGCTGCTCTTCATACAAAAAGAAAGAAAATAACAAAAACAGATAAATTTCAGCTTATTTCCTTAACTATTAAAACTAGGCAGCAATACATCAGATCCATATGTGTTTTAATTTAGTCATTCATCAAATATTCAGTCATCATCTACTATGTGGTCAGCATTGTGACAAGGGAGTAAGAATATAAAAATCAGTAAAAATATGGTATATCTGTCCTCATAGAATTTATCAACTAGTTGAGGGAATAAAATTAAACAATTAGAGACGGGCTAACCTATAAAGTCTGACCATAAGGGCAATAACAGAGAACACTGATGTGGGTCTGAGTAACTACGGAGGAAGTCAAATTTGACTTGGGCCTCAAACATTTTGGGCAATGATTAGGAAGGGCTATAAGAAGAAACACTAAGAGCATTTGTGAAAAAATGACCAATGCTAGGATTAGTGAAGACAATGGTCTTGTTGAGAGGGGTTTAATTTGGATAAGGATGGGGGAAATAATGCTAGATAAATAAGACAAATGTAGATTACACAGCAACTTAAAAGCAAGAGGAAAGAGTTTGGACTTGCTAGACTAGATGAACAAAGGATCCTGCAGAAGCAGGCAAGCAACAGGATAAAAGCCATTTCCCGTGAAAGCCATTTCACTTGGTTACTCCTTTTATCAAGTCCTCTACGTCACTCCTATCCCCTGAGCACATTTCAACAGAGGACCTTGCCTCCCACTTCCTAAAGAAAATAAAGCTCATCAGGTAAACTCTGCAGTTGCCAGCTCAACCTTTCTATATCTTCACTTCATTCATTCAGCAAACATTTGTTAAGCCTTTACTATGTGCTAAACAAAACACTGTGCTAAGAAGAGGAAACAAAAATAAAGACTGATTCTGAAGGGTTTAGAATCTAGTGGAAAAGGCAGAAGAGTAGACAAATAATTATAACAGCATGAAAAATAATGTGATACAAACGCAAGTTTGTACAAGGAGCTATGGGAACAGAAAGAGAAACAGGAGGGTAATCAAATATCAAAAATAACAGAATCAGATAAATGCAATAAGCAAAGGCTTGTACTGATGCTAAGAGCATAGAGGAAGAAATGTTCAAGTCTTCCTTAGAAAGACAGGTAAAGATGACACAAAAGTAGTAACATTTGAACCAACTGAAAGAACAAGTAGGAACACATCGGGCAGACTGAAGGGGGATGGGCAGTGTTAGACAGACAGAACAGCAAGCAAAAAGACCCAGGGGTGTGAAAGATCAGGGTGTATTTGGGAAACAAAATATTTTAGTACAGCTAAAAGGAGGAGGATTCGAAGATGAGGCTAACAGGTTAGGCAGTGATGCACTATAGTGCTGACTCTGACCCCAACCAACGTTTGGGATGCCACTGTAGTTGTAGCTAACTTACCAGGTTAAAACGTGAAATTCACTTTTTTACACATTGTGCAGAGAAGAGTTAGAGCAGTTGTGCGACTGCCTATCTCTTTAGAAAGGCCGACTTCGAAGTTTGGCCCTTGGCCAGCATCTGGGAATTTACCTGGTAAACAGTTCCCTACACTAATACAAAACTTTCCCTAAATGGTAAGAGTGTCTCATGTCTAGACTATGCAAACAATATGGCTAATACTGAACATATGCTTTCCTTCTGGAAGTCTGGATTTTGGTATGTTCTAGGCAGAGGATGCCTATGTGACTAATACCTGATTAAAAAAAAAACGAATTCCTGGGCTTGGGTGAGCTTCCTTGTAGACAATACTTAGCACATACTGTTAGAACTTACTGCTATAGGAAATGAGTGAGTCCTATGACTCCATTAGGAGAGGATTTTAGAAGTTTGTGCCTGCTTTCCTCCAGACTTCATCCCATGCATCTTTTCAAACCTTTTCAAGGCTGATTTTGCTTTGTATCTTTTTGTTGTTATAAGTCCTAGCCTTGAGTACAACTATATGTTGAATCCTATGAGTCCTTCTAGGTAATCACCAAACCTTGGGGTGGTCTTGAGGACTCTCAACATGCCTATACTCTGTGTCCCATTATATAGACATCTAAGGTACAAGTTTCACTGATACAGGGAATGAAAAAAATAAGTTATCTTGGCCTTGTTTCTCTCCTTTTTCATCCACATCAACTGACTAACAAATTCTTTAGATTCTTCCTTAAAATATCTTACAAATTGTCCCTTCTTCTTTCCTGTCTCCCTTTGCCACCTCCCTAATTAATCTTCCTAAAAGTTCAACTTTATGATATCTAGCCGATGATGACAAATTTCCAACAGCTTTTTAAAGTCTACAAGAGTCTAGTCTACCATTCAAAGTGTGAAACAGTCTATCCTTTGTAATCTGAGAGTCTATTATTCTCTCAGTAATATTTCCCAAATATATCACACTCACACCTCCCAGACTTTGACCACATCACCTCTCCCATCTGGAATGCTATTCTCCCTTCTCTTCCTTATCTAAACTTACACATCTTTCATGGTCCAATTCGAGCCCCAGTTCTTCCAGGAAATCTTAATTATTTGCACTTACACTTATCTACCTGTTTGCTTAATTCCAAAAGTACTTCTCTTTTAAACACGTAATAAAATGTTGCCTTGGAGACTTATTTTATATATGTAGATCATACTCCCTGAATTAGTTTATTAAGTTAATTGATTTATAAATTCCTTCAGTCTAGTGACTTTATCTTGTATACTGTTTTATTATCAGTACATAGAACAACCTAGTATATAATTAGCAAATAAAAAATACTGGCTGGATAACTGAATGAAAACAAGGGGGGGGGGTGTGTGTGGGTGTGTATCTTACATTTCTTTTGTACTCCCTTCAGAGTATATTGCAGTATGATGGAAGATCAAGAGTTAGGGGAGAGAATTGCCTAGGATGATCCCCAAGTTACTGGTTGAATGTCATTCTTCAAAACTGAGAAGAGAGGAGAAGCTGGTTTAAGGGGAAAAAATTAATAAATGCAAATTTCATTATGATTGAGACATACGTAAAGGATATTCGAGTCCAGATATCCAATTAGATATATCAGTGCAGCTCAGGAGTAAGAACTGACCTAGACAAGGAGCTCTGGAAGCCATGAAAGTACATGTGAGCAGCATACAGCATAAGAAAAGGATCAAGTACAGATCCTTGGTGACTATAAACAGATTGGGCAAAGCCCAAAATGAAGGCTTAAAAAGCCAAAGAATTGAAATCACAGAAGCTAAAAGATGGAAATATTCTAAGAAAGCAGCAAATACTACACTGTCAAAAAATAATAGAATTAAAAAGCAAACTAGCTCGAGATACACTGAGCAGGCGTTTATACCTAAGGTTGCAAAGTAGAGGCTCGACTTTAAATTCAGGCTACAGACGTGCTCTTTTGGGGACCAGTTTTCCTTGTTTGTTTCCTTCTAATTGTTTCCCAATTAAAAAGAATCTTTTTATTTTTAACACTTCTCAACATTTTTAAAAGCAAAAGACTTGACATAAAATTGATAAAGTGAAAGAATGAGTAACACTGAGTTCCCACTCCTACAGGTGGCAACAACAGGGTGAAGCTGAGCAGATTCTGCCCTCCTTTAGATAAGGTATGCTTTCTCCAGGTTTCATTTTTCCAGCTTTCACTTGGCCGTCTTCATTTATTTTATGAGCTAAGCTCATGTAGGCATTACATTGAGATCTCTGACACACACGTCTTCCTTCCCCATGACTCAATTAAGATGATAGTGAAGAATCTCTAAAAGGTTTTAATCCATTATAAACAAGAAAACAAGAGCCCAAGAGAGATTTCATGCAATTGCTGGAAAACAGAAAGGCATGGAGTAGTAGTGATGTCTCAAGGTGAATAAAGCAGCAGCCTAAAGCACACATGAAGGGCGCCGCAGTTACAGGACACAGTTTACTTGCCTAGCAGAACCTTAGAAAGGCCCCAGAATCAGAGAGAGATTCATGACCGGCAGGAAGCAGATCAGAAAACAAATACATTGACCTTTAATTAATCACAGTACAGACCTTCATCCAGACTCAGCCAGCTAAAAGTCTGGTGGCAGGCAAAAGTTCTTCTCAAAACAAACAGAGAAAAGTGTGTGGGGGAGAACTAAAGAGGCTAGTGTGGGTGTTTGTGTTCCATTAAAAACTCTCCCACATTCTGGTATTGGGGAAGGGAGGTGTGTCTCTCATCAAAGCAAACTGTTCCTGCCTCACTGTGCTCAAAGGAAACAGGCAAAATGACAAACATCACTGTGGATTACTTCTACACTAGGTAAGCCCTCCTACACTATGTAATAGTGTCAATTATGTACTGTCATATGGAAAAGTAACATTTTTAAAAGAAAGAAAATGAAGAAGGAAGGTAAGAAAGCAGAAAGTAAATATGATAATTAAGAATTCACTGGTGACCTCTGCCAAAGAAAGTTCAATGAAGTGTATGCTGGGAGCTTGTTTACAGTGGGTAAAAGAGGGAGGGGGAGAGGAGATGGGAAATTCTGGCTATAGTCTATTCTTACTTTCAAAGAATGTGACAGCGAAGAAAAAAGAGAAACAGAGACAAAGAGAGATGATGGATTGAGGGAGGATTGGTTATATTCTAAATAGGAGAGTTGTAAGGGAAGTACAAGGGGAAGGAAGGACATAAATAGAGAAGAATAAAGGCAAAGAAGCTGAAAACACAAAAGGGAGGGAAGTAACAGGTTTTCAATCCTAGAGAAGGTATAAGGGGATATTAACAAAAGCATAGGAAATAAAATAACCTTGGTTATGAAAAGTGATAACTTCTAGGACAGAAGGAAAATAAACTAGGGCTTTTGCAGATTTAAAGAAATACAAATGGTCTAGAGGTAGCAAATAAACAATTTATAATTGATAGCTCTGATACTTGCAAAGAAATAGGAGATAAGGCCAACTGCAAAGAAAAAAGGGGAGGAAAAGTAGAATATATGACTCAAGGAAAGTTGTAAAATTGAGGAATATCTACTGAGGGAACTGTGAGAGGATGAGTGATCACATAAAAGAACTGTCAAGTGGAGCTGGCCCTGTGGCTAAGTCGTTAAGTTTGCATGCCCTGCTTTAGCGGCCCAGGGTTTCGTCTGTTCAGATCCTGGGCACGGACACCACACTGCCCGTCAAGCCATGCTGAGGTGATGTCCCACATAGCACAACCAGAAGGACCTACAACTAGAATACACAACTGTGTACTGAGGGGTTTTGGGGAGAAGAAGAAGAAGAAGGAAAAAAAAAAGATGTTAGCTCAGGTGCCAATGTTTAAAAAAAAAAGAAAGAAAGAAATGTCAAGTGATCTTGAGGGTCCAGCTGAGGCCAGAGACCATAATATGTAGTGTCACCAAACCACATTGCCATCTGATTTTCTTAGCAGCCCTCAGAAACACCAGTATGAGTAGAGAAGAAGGGTTCTTGGAGGCAAGACAAAGGCAGCAGAAAAACAAGAAATCTAGGCTGCTAAGGGTATTGGTAAGAAAATGGTACAATGATTCTGAATATGGTTCAACATTATGGCTATGAAGGGAAGTAGAAAGAAAAGTAATAATTGCAGGAAAATGTAGAATTAAAGGAGGGTTTTTATCTATCCACCTGCCCTATTACAGAGGTACCTATAAGATACTGGGGTAGGTTTACAGGTTTTAGGAAAGGCTGGATAAAGCTGTGCTACACTACACAGAAAGTGAAAGAGAAAGCTAGAGAGGGAGAGGGGAAAGCAGAAAGGGGGAAAATGAAGAGCAGAAAGGAGGAGGAGAAGAGAAACAGGAAGAACGAGAATTTCAGCCAAAGCATCCATCCCTCATACTCCATATAACTTTCACTGCCTGTCAATTAAATCTTTCACATCTGTCCAAGCATTTTTATAACATCCAAAAAAGAGACATAGAACTCTTGTTGGATTTTTTTCCTAAAACATGAAGATTACAACACTTATCTTTGCAAATATATACTGTTTGTTACCTTTCTGATACAGTGAATAAACTATACTATGCCATCTACACTCTTACCCAGTTTTCTATGCACACATTTCTAAAACAACTGCTTTAAAGGAATCTGACATATATAACACTGTGTGAAACTAATCAGCTATGTTCTAAACAACTAATTACTGTTTTTCTCTAAAACAGACCCATTGCTTTAAAAACTGTTGCACGTAAAATTCAATGTAACTGTTTCACAAAGTTTACAATTTGACATTTTATATATATCTTTTACTTTACCATGACTTCAAAAACTCTCTAAAGGGGTAAACAGTATTCAACTTGCAAAGATTCCTTCAGCTCACTATACTATAAATATACGTCACTTTTCCTTAATCTCGTTTTTCATGTGCACTTATTTCAGAAATTCTTGATCAAGCAGCTTACAAAACAACAGGTAATACAATAAATGCAAACATTATAATACATTTTCCATTTCACACACCTTACTTAATTGTGTCTGAAGTACCAAGAGTTTGTTGTATTCCTCTGTTACTTTGTTGAGAAGAGTTTGCATATTTTCTTGAAAGTCTAGATGATAAACAAACAATTATAATAATTTCACGCCACAGCAAAAGTCTGCTTCTTTCAATAAGCATTACTCATCTACTCATCACTTCAGAAAATTGCCTGCTAGAAGTAAACTTCACACACTTAGTAACCAAAAATTTAATTCTCATTAATGTGAAATATCTGCTACAAAGATAGCTTGACAATTTCATGTTAAAATGTTAATTTCTTTTAGAATTCATTAATTTGCACACATTTTGTTCATTATTCATACAAGTGGACAGGGGTAGGAAACACTTTATCTGTGAAGGAACACAGAAAAATTAATTGAAGTTGCAATTTAGAAAAATAAACTAATATGGGAATCCTATTAAGAAAGATAATTGTACGTCTTCTTATTCTTTTTTAAAAAATAAACCACTGATATAAACTTATTCAACAAATACAATAACCTTTAAAAGTTTGGATCTATGGTATGAAATTAAGGAAAGAGTTATGAGGAAAAAGATGAGAGTATAGGGATAAAGAGGGTAAAGAGACAAAGACACTTGATGGCTTTGGTTCTCTTTACATCACAATTATTGCATTATAAAAATAAAAATGTATATTAAATATAAGATTTCATGAATCTGAAACAAAGACAAGATATTAAGATGATAAACTCAAACTGGCTGAGTGATTAAATCATGAATAAATGTAAAAGTTTATCATCAATTAAGAAAATCACTGTTCAATAACGTGGTAAGCTTTATTACCTTGAACTTCATATCTATAATCTTGCAATTCTAGTTCTTGATTTTCAGAAGTGTGAACATCACAATTCTCTCTCTCTTCTCCATCTACCTCACATTTTAAAACAGGAGTATAACGTTCACCAAGTACGTTGCCAAAAGTCTGTTAACAACAAAATTAGGTGTTTTATAGAACCAAAATTTTGATTTCTCCCTCTACAGATCATTAAACATTATTTTCCTATATGCAAAAGCCAGTCAAAATGGCACAGAAAAATCAATAAGAAAACACTCTTCCATACACCAAATCAATCTGCAAAATGAATAATCAAGTCTAAATCTTTTTTTCTATATATAGGACATGAAATTCTTCTTATATCAGGAAAATAGTCATCTTCATTGTACAAAACTATAATTTTTTCTGCTTCTTTCTAATAATGAAAAGTAGAATATCTTGTACTTTAATCTACCACTTTCTAGCTTGGATCCTATTCTAATGTTATCTCTGTAATGTCAACTACCCTTGAAAAAACACCAGAAGACAAGGACAGAAGTCCAAAAACGATGACTAGAAAGTAGTCTATAAAGTTCTAGAGAAATTATAATATATGAAATAGGAGATCACACTCATATACTTTTCTATAACATATGAGAGTAGTATTCTGTGGTTTATATACACAAGAAGTTAAAAATATTTGACACATTATTCTGGTTTTTCTCCTGAGAAAAAGACAATTCTGTCATCATTTAAAAACAATATGTCTCCTAACTGTTTGATAAGCCCTCTAAATTAGTTTTACCTTTGCCCCTCACACTTAAAACTTAAAAACTAAATTGTTTATTGCTGCTGTTTCTTAAGATATGCTTAAAAGTTAACTATACTGTCAATTAACAATTGAGTAACTAAATTTTCAGCACTGTCCCTAAGACAGAATTTTAACATAGAGTTGGTAGAAACCTGAAGGATCACCCAATCTACAGATGAAGAAACAGACTCAGAACGATGAAGTAACCAGTCCTAGGCAACATCAATGATTAACGACAAAACCAGGTTTCATAATGAATTCCAAAGGACCCCTCCATTACAACAAGTTGCTTCATATTTCAACTTGAGATTAGGGCTCAAGTAAAAACAAGAGTGGAAGAAAAGAAAGTATAAAGTCAGCTTACAAATGAACTTTTGTGACTTGGGCCCTCTTTCCGTATTTACTGTCAACAATGGATATGAAAGGACAATGCCTGAACCCTTCAGCAGAAGTAGAGGCTGACGAATGCCAAATGAATAAAGGCCTTCAATGTGGTTATTTCTGACTTTTCTTGGATTTTTTTGCAATATGTTTTTGAACCATTTTATCGGTAATCAGAATTGGTAAAGCAGCTTTATCTGTACCAACTAATACCACCCTCCTCCTCCTGCAATTTATAAATACACAGACTGTGATGGAGATCAGGGACAAGCCTAGGCATATATTTTATTGTGAACTATTTCAAATATGCAGAATAAATAGTTTATTACCTAGCTTTAACAAATACTAATATTTTGTCAAATTCTCTATATTTTTTAAAAAATTAAACATTACATATAGATTAGAAACTGTCTGTATTAAGTACTGCTTACCCATTTCATTCGCCTCTCTCTCCACCCAGGTGACTACTCTAGCATGCATGTTTTTATACTTTTTTCTTTTGAGATTTACTGGTATTAGTACAGATATCAACAGTGCTATAGGGTGTTCCATTGTATGGATATACCACAATTTGTTTATTCATTTGCCTGCAGATGGAAATCTGAGTTGTTTCCAATTTTTAACTTAATATAGACACTCTTGCAATGAACATATCTGGTTGTACACATATGTAAGCCTCTCTAGAAGTAAATGCATGGGCTGTGAGATGTACATATCTTCAACAATATACCTTGCCAATCTGCTTCTCAAGGTACTGCTGTCCCGCCAGCAGTGTATAAGAGCTATTTCATTCCATTTTCACAAATACAATTATATTTGGTATAATTACAGTTTTTAGTTTTTGGCAATCTTCAGTCTGAAATCACATCTCAGCAGTCTTGTGCAAGCTCCCCACATGTCATCAGATTCACTCAACCACCTAAGTGGGCAGGGGCAGGAAACAGACCTGCTTGAGGCTCTATTGGTCCGTTGTTTTTAATTAGGTATAACTTTTGTCTGTTCTACTGCTGAGACAATTTACCTGACTTTTTTTTTGTTTCAAACTGATTATCAGGAAAAATTTAAATGCTCATTTTAGACTTAAAAACTCAGAAATATTTTCTGATGTAGCTTTGAAGTAAGATAGTAGGAAAAACCAAGTTGGATGATTCTGCTTATCAAATTAGCAGTAACTTAAAATTTAGCATTTCTTGTTTAAAAGTACTTTTTAACTAATATCTTACCTGTGCAAAATAAGAACATTCTTCAGACACTGCCTTGCGAAGTTTCCCAACAAGCACTTGCAAAGACTTCACTTCATCACCTAATAGAACAGATACTGCTTTAAAACATTCAATTTACATACTGAAGTACTATATCATATTAAACCTACGTCAACTGGAAGCTTCCCTGCAATAAGATTAGTCTTAAATTCTTTCTTTCTTCCAAAGTTATCTTCCACTGCTCAATATAACTGTCTCAGATAATTTGTAGGATTTTCTATTTATATCCTATGGAATGGTATAAAGCAGTAACTTACAAATTTTTTAATTACAATCCAAAACAAGAAATACATCACAAATCATAACCTATTATATACATCCATGTAAAACTGAAACAAAAATTTCACAAATCAGTATTTATTCACGCTATGCACTGCAAGGTTTTCTGTTCTATTCTTTTATTTATTAAAAAAAAAGTGCTGGGCATTACTCACCAAACTGATCATCACCCATTAACGGACCCATTAATTTATTTGTAGTTTGAAAAACACTGGACAGATTCTATCTGAGGAGGATAGCCATAAAAACACTTCATACTTAAAACCTTATTACATTCCAAAAACAGAACTCCTGAAGTGAAAAAGTATGGTATTCTTATTCAAGCTACTCTTTAAATTCTACTCTGTTCAACAGAGCAATTCCATGGGACAAACTTATGAACCACCTCATTCCCAAAGGCAGATGTGTCATGAGTGGAGGCCTGGAGATGTCTTAAACAGAAGTTGTCTAGTTAATCAAGTGGTTAAATAATTATTAAAGATAAAAGTTAACTGCAACGAGTCTTCCATTTATGATTCCTTACATGCTGTTGCTCCCTATAAGTGCCATGTTAGTCTTGTGGCTCACTCTACAGTCTCCCAAGACATCTCATTCTTGTTCTTGGCCTCAAATGATCTTTTTATTTCCAAATCTTTATCTCAAGCCTGAATTTCCCTCTTGCCTTTCAGACTTCTACTTTCAACTGCCTATTAGACACCTCTTTTCCAAAGTCAACAGGCATTTTTAAATCAATATGTTCCAAACTGAATTAATTATTTTCCTCACAAATCTGCTCCTCATCCTCTTCATGACTGGAGTCACCCTCAATGCAGTGTACCCAAGCTAGAAACTTAAGGCTCATTCTCAGTTCCTCTCCCTTTTACTGCTAATGTTAACTGAAGACTACAGCCTACCTCTTTAACTCTTAAACTTTTCTTTCCTTTCCACCCTCAGTGACATTTTAGTTCAACATCTTATTGTTAACAGAACTCCTGTCAAAGTTGTTTAATCGGTCATCCTATCACTAATCACCTCCCCCAACTTGCCCCAATGGTGTCATCTTAAAATAAAAATCTTACTGTTACTCCCACTATTTAAAATCCTGCAGAAGGTCTTATCACCAACACCATAAAACTTAAACAGGTTTCAGTCAAGATATATAAGCTTTTTCTGATCAAGCTCCTTCCAATCTTTGAAGCTTTATCCTCCACTACTTTTTCACATACCTTGAACTCTCAATTCTCCAAAATGGATGCAGTCTTTCATACCTCTGTGTTTAAGACTCAAGAGACTTCCCTAAAAATTCCAACCTCCCTACGCCTGCCTGCAGTCTTACTCTCCTCATCCTCTATGAAGTATGAGTACCTTCCTCCTCTCTCTGTCCATTCTTTCTATTCATTCTTTCATTATAGAAATTGACCTATTGTTTTCTAAGAGTTTATTTTATATTGCTTTCCCACCAGATTGTCACTTCCTGGGTGAAAATGATTCAGTGATTTTACATTTCTCAAGCGCTTAAATGAATGTTCAATGGTTATATGAAGAAATCAATCCAGGACTGGGATATATAGTCATCTTCCTCTATGGGTTCTAAGACAAGGACAGAATCATGGAATGGTGGGCTCTAAGTGATACTTATTTGCTTCACAGTACTTAGAATTTTCTTAGAAACCATTTACCTGTTTCTTGTGTTTTTATATTCTGTAGCTCTAGCTGGTGCCTTTTCTCAAGTTCCTTGATCTTTTCCTCTTGGGCAGAAATAAGCTCCTCTTTAAGACTGCAAAGAGCTTTACCTTTTTCATTTTCCATAAATTCACGAATCTGATCCACATGAGTTGAATAAACCAGAGAGAGGCATATACGTTGAGCTTCCATCTGCAGCCTTAAATCATTCTTAAAGTGAATGTACATACACATTAGAAAGTTTTAAAACGACAAATCAAATAATTCAACTTCCATTTTTTTGCATATACTAACTACAAGAGGGTATAGACATGAAATTATAGTTCAAAACTTCAAATAAGAGAAGTGAAGTCTAATTTTTTTCTCACTTTTCTTTCTGTTGCATTGATCTAATTGTCTCTTTCAAGGAAAGTAGCACAATATTTTCATTATCTCAAGTTTATGGTAAATTTTGAGATTTGGTATAGCTAGTATGGCCTCATCTTTGATTTTTGTTCAAAAAGAGTATTTTAAATATAGAGAAAATAACAACGTAATAAACACTGATATACTCACACCCCAAATTAGCAAACACAAATATTTTCGTTTTTTTTTTCATTTCTCTCCTCCCTACCCACTTCTTTGGTTTAAAAACAAAACTCAGGGGGGCTGGCCCCATGGCCAAGTGGTTAAGTTCACGCGCTCTGCTGCAGGTGGCCCAGTGTTTTGTCCATTTGAATCCTAGGCGAGGACATGGCACCACTCATCGAGCTATGCTGAGGCGGCGTCCCACATGCCACAACTAGAAGGACCCACAACTAAGAATATACAGCTATGTAGGGGGGGCTTTGGAGAGAAAAAGGAAAAAGAAAAAGAAAAAAGAAAATCTTTAAAAAAAAAAAGAAAAGAAAACTCAGGGGCCGGCCGCATGGCCAAGTGGTTAAATTTGCACGTTCTGCTTCAGTGGCCCAGTGTTTCGCTGGTTTGAATCCTGGGCGCGGACGTGGCACCGTTCACAAGCCATGCTGAGGCGGCATCCCACATGCCACAACTAGAAGGGCCCACAACTAAGAATATACAACTACGTACCGGGGGACTTTGGGGAGAAAAAGGAAAAAATAAAATCTTGAAAAAAACAAAAGAAAACTCAGATAAAATTTAATCCACTATGTTCCCATTCTTCCTTCCCCAGAGGCAATCATTATTTGCAAATTTGTGGCAAGTCCAGTCCATTTCTTATACTATCACTTCTCAACATATCTATAAACAATGCACTATATTTTGTGTTAAGAATTTACATAAATGGTGCAAAATGGTAGTTCTTTTGCAAATTGCTCTTCTCATTCAATATGCTTCTGAGATCTATCCATGTAGATACAGATTAATTTATCTTAAATGTGGTATAGTATATAAGAATAGACCATAATTTGTCCATTTCCTTTCTGGAGTTTTACTGCATTATCTCTAATTTTTTGATATCTCAAAAAATGCAATAAATTCTTATACATATGCCCTTGTACAAGTATGTTAGTGTTTCTCTAGTGTAGTGTAGTGGTTCTCAAACTTTAGCACGCATCAGAATCACCTGAAGTGCTGACTAAAACAGATTGCTGGGCCTCTCCCCCAGAGTTTCTAGCTCAGAAGGTTGGGTGTGGGGCCTGAGAATTTGAATTTTAACCTGTTTCCAAGTGCTGCTGATGCTGCTGGCTAGGGACCACATGGAAAACTATCCAGATATATAATTGCTGGGTCACAGATAATGAACATTAACTGTATTAGATTTTACCAAATTATTATAATTATTATTATTGTTTTCATTTTTTGGTGAGGAAGATTGGCCCTGAACTAACATCCGTTGCCAATCTTCCTCTGTTTGCTTGAGGAAGATTGGCCCTGAGCTAAAATTTGTGTCCATCTTCCTCTATTTTATATGTGGGACACCTACCTACCACAGCATGGCTTATAAGTGGTGCATAGGTCCACACCCATGATCCAAACCAGTGAACCCTGGGCTGGCAAAGCAGAATGTGTGAACTTAACTGCTGTGCCACCAGGCTGGCCCCCCACATTATGATTTTGAAAACAATTCCAGATATTTAACAAAACATTAACAGCTATGCAATTTTAATTTCTTCACTCTATTTAGCTTATTAAAATGTAAGATATCTTTACATTTAATATATCATAAATGTGAATATATTAGAAGTAAAAAAAAAACTTTCCTTTTTTTTTGTTTTTTTTTTAAGATGGGCAACAGTTGTTAGCTCAGGTGTCAATCTTTCTTTTTTTTTTTTCTTTTTCTCCCCAAATCTCCCCAGTACATAGATGTATATTTTCAGTTGTGGGTCCTTGTTGTGGCATGTGGGATGTGGGATGCCACCTCAGCATGGCCTGGTGAGCAGTGCCATGTCCGTGCCCAGGATCCGAATTGGTGAAACCCTGGGCCGCTGAAGCAGAATGTGCAAACTTAACCACTCGGCCATGGGGCAAGCCCAAACTTTCCTTCTTCTTCAAACTCTTTTTCTTCCACTCTCCCTCTCTCAAACTCAACTAAACACACTTTATTTTGTTCCTCAAACTCATCTATGTCTTCTAATTGCTCTAATTTGCATGTGGTAAGCTCCTCCCTGTCATTGAGACCTCAGTTCAAATATCAATTCCTCCAAGAGACCTTTCCTGACCCCCCTATTTAATACTGTCACCACCAATACCCATCAGTCTCTATCACATTATCTATTTTATTTTCCTTATAGGACTTATCACTATTTTTAACTACTCATTTCCTTGTTTACTGCCTCCCTCACTAGAATAACATGCTCATCGAGAGCAGGAATCTTCTTTCTCTTGTTCACTACTATACTTCTATATTTGGCAAGAGATTCGATAAATACATGGATAAATGAAGAAACATAAAGCTTTAGTTAGCATAATTACGCAAGATACCCAGTGGAATGTTCCTGTTATTTCTAATATCAGTATCTGGCAAATATGAAACATCAGGAGTGATCTATTTTTACTCATTACATGCATTCTTTAACTGAATTTAGAATAACACTTTCTTCCCTCCTTTAGGTAAAACAATACTCTGAGAAAACTCTAGGACTTAAATCAAGATTTTTTTTCAGGAAAATAGTTTCCTAACTACTGAACAACTATATAAAGTACTAAAAAGTTTAAGAGTGAATTTTCAGTTGTGGAACCTTGAAAATACCAGTATGAAATGAAACTCTGAAACCAATCTTTTTGATTGCAACAAAATATCTTTTCTAAAGCTCAGATGCTCAACAAAGTTACTTAAACTCTTGCTTTTCCAGGAAAATGTGAAATCATTACTACATTTTGTTGACTGAGTAAAATGTATAACATAGATTAACCAAAAGAAAGGCAACAATGTTTTAAAAAAAACAGACAAAAGAAATGATAAATGATAGGCTCAAATAAGAATTACATCACAGGGTTCACCTTTATCCTCTTGCAACGAGGTTAATTATGTTTCATGAACATGAAAACTTTTTTAGTATGAAATGTACATTTTCATTGTGCTTTAGCATATATAAATAAATAAACATACCTGTTCGGACTTAAGTACACTGAGTTCCTGCTGAAGTTTATCCTTCTCACTCGGTTCCGTTGTCTCAGGCAATGATTCGTTCGTTGCTGATGGCAAGTGACTCAAAACTAACTGTTCTTGCTTGCTTTCTGTTCCAATAGTCATATTTTCAAAAGAAATTTTATCTTCCTTCATCATTTTTGATTCTTCACCAAAATCTTTATTTATTTTAGAAATTGGCCCTCCAGACTCCCCGCTTGTCATAGTCACAACTCTCTCTCTTAAAGACTTTAACTGAACATCACAGACGTTTACATTTTCCGTCTTATTATGGTTAATTATGATTTCTAGTTCCCTACATCTCAATAAAACTTGCTCTTTCTCTTGCTTTAAAGATTTAACTTCTTCACTTAGAAAACTAATCTCACCATGTTTCTGTTTTAATTGTTCAGAAAGATCAGAGAGTCTCTCTGACAGTTCTAATTTTTCTCTCTTGGTTACTTCAAGTTTTTCCATAAGTTCTGTTGTATCTTTCTCAACAACCTCACCGATTTCCAATGGTTCTGCTATAAAAGCTTTGTCATCATCAATGACTGAACTTTTCATTTTCACTATAGTTGGATTTATTCTTTGCAAATGATGAAGCTCTTCACTAAGTGCTTTAAGCTTACTTTTATACTCTACTTCTTGTTTATTTTTACTCTCTTCTAAATCCATTTTTACCTTCAGAAGGCAAGCATAATCCTCCTGTAACTCCTGATAGTTAACTTCAAAATTTTTTTCAGCAAATGAAAAAGTGTTCCTTTGCTTTTCAATCTCTTCAGTTAGTTGAATACACTGTTTTCTGAGGTCCTCATTTTCCTCTGTAAGTATTTCTATTTCTTTTTGACAGCTACAGTCTTTGGGTTTGGACTTAATGGAATCTATGAAAATTAATCTTTCTTCTTGGTTAACAGGAGTATATTTTTTCAACATGTCTTCAAGGGCTTTCTTTTCATCTTTAAGAATGCTATTCTCTGCTTCAAGTTGTGCAAATTTTTCTTGAAGGTCATCTTCTTTTTCTTTCATTTGTTTCTCCAATAATTCAGTTTTAAGTTGTAATTCTTGAACTTCTTGTTCAAGTGTACCCTTTTCCTTTTCTTCTTGTCTGAGTACTTCAATTTCTTTTTGAAGTTCATTGATTTGAAGAGTCATTTCTTCTGATTTTGAATTCACAAGGGACTGCTGTAAATCTTTTAGCCTTGAAATTTCCAAAATTAATTGATTCTGCTTAGTTATCAAATTGTCTTTTTCAAACTGCATGGTTTCTATCTTTTGACTCATTTCATTCTGTAAGCCATCTATCTGCTGTTTATAGTGAATACCTAAGTTATCTTTAAGTTTTTCAATATTTATTCGATGTTCAATTTCTAAATCTTCCTTCAGTTTGGAAAGTTCTTCTTCATGACTAAACAGAAGCTGTGTCCTCAGCCTCTCTAATTCAGCTTCTTGTGATTCAGCCATTCTGTCTAACACAGCATTCTTTTCTCTTTCTAACATTTCAAGTTTTATCTTATAATTTGTAACTTCTGCTTCATGTTTTAATTCTAGTTCCTTCCTGGATTCACATGCAGAAACAATCTCAGCTTTCAAATCTTCAACTGTACTAAGGGACTTATATGCTTCATTGAGTTTACTTTCTTGTTCAGCTATTGTCTGTCTAGCTCTCTGAATTTGGTCCCTTGAAAAGCTCAATTCTTCAAAAAGGTCTTTAAGTTGTCTCTGTAGAGCAGACTTTTCTCCTGAAATTACTCCTAGTTCTTCCTTGAGTTTTTCCTTTTGAGAGTTAGTATCTTGCAATTTTATATTCAGTTCATTTATTGCCATATTCATTAACTTTATTTGCTCTTCATTAACTGTAATATTTGGATACGATCTTAAAGCATTCTCCATTTCTCCCTTGTGTCGTGTTTTCAGTTCTTCTATCTGTAACATGTGTTGTTTTATTAACTCTTGTTTCATCTGCACTATCTGCTGCCCATACATCTCATCCAGCTCCGCCCGGAGTTGTTCTAACTTTCTTTGTGTTTCTTGTTCCATTCGTTGTAGAATATCAGTTTCAAATTGGCTATCTTTATGATTTTTCTTCTGAAGTTCTTCAACTGTTCCCATTAATTGTTTTACTTCCTCAGAACACTGTCTTTCTTTTTGCTTGGAATTAGTCAGCTCTAATTTCACATTTTTTAACTCTTGGTTCTTTTGTAGAACATGTTCTTGTAATTCTTCTAGTAATTTATCAGCAGCTGTTACTTTATCCTTTAGCTCAAGAGTTTTCTTTTCTTCTTCTATTATTTTTGTACTTAATTCTTCAATGATTGCCTCCTTTTCCTGTATTTCTTTATTTGAGCTTTCTACCTTTTTATCTTGTTCCTTTAGGAAGAAAAAATGAAAATGGCATTTTTAGTTCCTGGCAACTTACACTGCTTAACCCCATTACCAAAAGACTGACAGAAGCCTCCTTTTTACATAATTCTACAAGATGCAAAGCCAGCCTTAGCGCTTTAGTGGTTAAGATTCAGTGCTCTGATTACCACAGCCCAGGTTCGTATCCCGGTCAAGGAACCAGACCACCTATTCGTCGTTTGTCATAACGTGGCAGCTGCATGTTGCTATGATGCTGAAAACTGTGCCACTGGTATTTCAAATCCCAGCAGAGTCACCTATGGTGGACAGGTTTCAGGAGAGCTTCCAGACTAAACAGACCAGGAAGAAGGACTTGGCCACCCACTTTTGAAAAGACTGGCCATGAAAATCCCTTGAGTAGCAGCAGAACACTGGAAAAAGACCAGGCAGGGCTTCACTCTGCTGTATACAGGGTCACCAGGAGTTGGAATTGACTCAAAGGCATTAACAACAAATAAAAAGTAACTGCTGGGCCTGCCCCTCAATTTTTCCCAAGTCAATGAGACATAGGACTTGTGTACCCAACACTATTTGTGAGCAAATACTATAGCAGTGTTGGCCTTCTCAGGAAGAAGAAATTTTTTAAATTTTAATTAAAAAATTCAGTCAGATTAAATGTGTCTAAACCATTATATTTTTCTTATTAACTGCTCAACATTCTAAGTCATCAGTATTTTCTATAGCTAGTTAGAGTATTATGTACTTTATAGTTCTAGAAGAGAGTCCCAAAATTAAATCAAGGTTCCTCCTATGTGTTCTAGTGACTTGAAGGTGTTTGATGAGCGAGTGCTATGAAAAGAGAAAAGCAGTAACAAAAAGAGGTTCCTATAGGTCTGCCTTAACTTCATTCCTGGGCTAAGTGAATCAGAACTTTAGGGATATGCAATGCTTAAGTAGTTGAATCTCAAGTAACATACAAGACAACTACATCATTTATGGCATATCAGCTTGGTCCTGGACTTTTGGTTTAAATAGAAATTTGAAATACTTTTTCTCAGTTCTGATTTGGGACTCTGTTTTGGAATTGTAGATAAGCCTAACTCAGAACACATGCCAAAGCATATCCATAATCACATTCATTCACAGGAGTGTTATAGTACCAGAGAGTCAAGCAGAAGCTGCCAAAATAGTTAAGGGCAGTAATCCCAAGGACAAAGAAAGAAGTTAAAATCCATAGAATGGAACCGAATATACGTCAGTAAAATCACCTTCAGGAGACCGTAGTCCTTCTAGCCTAGAGGACTTAAATGCACCTTGTATTAACATATCTAAAGAAAGAATGTCAAAGCCTAGACAAAGAAAAGCCTCAGAGGCAAGTGTTGGCAGTGCCCATTCAAGTATAGTGAAGGGAAGAGAAGCAAGGTGCCAAGAAACTGAGAATTCTTATCTCTCTGGGAAAACCATACCTAATGTAGAAAGCAATGTACGGGGTTGTAGCAAACAGAATTTAAGAATTTCAGTCCACAGGTGTGACCATTCCTACTGTGAGATGGATATATCAGGTTATCACAGCCTAATGCTAGTGAACATTTTATTCCTCTAACATCCCTTGATCTCATGCTCACTAAACAACTTTCTATCATTATAATTTGGCTTTTCAAATTCATTTGCCCATGGAAAGAAAGTAAAACCCAATGAATTTGAAGTATACAGGTCCCTGTGATAATTATTTCTCATTGCAAATTAATAATCTTATATTCAAGGTTTAAACATTAGCCTCTTGAACTTGGAAAATCTGAATTCACCTCTGAGATAGCCCAAGTCTCAGCTGAGAGAAAATAAAAACTAAACCAGATTGTTGACCCTATAAGTCAAAGGCCAGATTCTGCACTACATAAATTAACAAGGTAATGAATACTATTCTGTGTAGCCTCTTGAGCAAAATTCTGTCAGTTTTGTCTTGGTATCACATATCCCACCCAATGTCACCGTAAGTAATTATCAAGTGTTGAGTCCTCTTAAACTTCTGTACTAAAATATGACATTTAAATCAATTAAACTCTTTAAATCTTGGTGTTTTCACCTGTAAAACAAAGATAATATTATTTCCTCTATCTCATAGAATATGCTTGAAGTTAAAATAAATATATTAAGGTATTTTATTTTCACTGTGCTACATACAAACATATTTATGTACTAGTAAAAAGTCTAAAAGGTGTGTGAAACCTATAAGAAAGTAAAATCATTCATAGTGGTCAACTTCAGTTAAATTGTTAAGTAATTAGTCTTGAAAATGTTAATGCTGTTATAAAATCTATAACATTTCTATTTCCTGATTTTCTATGGGGGAAAAACCCTCATAAAACAGCCTCAATTAAGAATTGCCCAACACTGATATAACTGCAAACAAACAACAATAATTCTTCATTTAAACAACACAAATTCATGGTTCATTTTTCTTACTACCATTTATTTCAAAGTATATGGTTTTAAGCCACTTATTTTGTGTTGCAAAAAAAGACAGCCCTGTGAAACAGAACTGAGAGAGTGGGGAATAATATACTTCCTGCCTGGGACTACTGCATGATGGGAAGTTCAGAAGATTAGGACAATAAGAATGAGCCCAGAACTGTCAAGCAGTTCGGGAGGGACCAAGACAGTTTCAACTATCACCTTAATGCCCTAGTCCCTCAGCTTCTCTGATGGAATTACTACTCAGGGGGATTCATTCAAAGAAAAAAAAAAGGAGAAATTAAAAGATACATGTAATGAGGGGCCGGCCCGGTGGCGCAGCGGTTAACTTCTCGGCAGCCCAGGGTTCCCCGGTTCGGATCCCAGGTGTGGACATGGCACTGCTTGGCTAAGCCATGCTGTGGGAGGCATCCCACATATAAAGTAGAGGAAGATGGGCACAGATGTTAGCTCAGGGCCAGGCTTCCTCAGCAAAAAGAGGAGGACTGGCAGTAGTTAGCTCAGGGCTAATCTTCCTCAAAAAAAAAAAAAAAGATACATGTAATGAAAGAGACTGATAATAAAAGTATTTTATTAATATTCAAATAAATGTTATTCCTCTTATGAAAATGAATTAGTTGAATTTCAATACTCTCAAATTACATTGCCTACTGAATATAATACAGTAACTATAATAAAATCCAGTTTCCAGGCTCTTCTAACCTAGGCCTAGACTGTCTTTCTACTCTTACCTCCCAGAAAGACTCCCTTTCAAAGACCACTGTTTTCTAGTAAATTATTTTTCGCTTCCTATATACATTATCAACATGTTTTAGCCTGAGTCTTTAAGCACACTCCACCCTCAGTCTAAAATGTCCTCCCCATCTGTCAGTTCAGATTCATAATTTATTCATAATTATTCTAAAATGTCCTCCTCATCTCTGTCAGTTCAGATTCATAATTTATTCACTTATTTACCAAGTAAGTATGGGTAGTTGCTGTGTGCCGTGCATTATGCCAATTGCTAAGCAAACAAAATACAATAAAAAAGGAATTGTTCCATAATATATAAAGAACTCACACAACTCAACAACAAAATAATACACAACCTGGTCAAAAAATGAGCAGAGGATATAAACAGACATTTTTCCAAAGACATACAGATGGCCAATAGCCAGATGAAAAAATGTTCCACACCACTAATCAACAGGAAAATGCAAATCAAAACTACAGCAAGATATCATCTTACACCTGTTAAAATGGCTGTAATCACTAAGACAAAAAATAACAAATGTTGGAGAGGTTGTGGACAAAAGGGAACCCTCATACACTACTGGTGGGAATGCAAGCAGGTGCAGCCACTATGGAAAACAGTATGGAGATTTCTCAAAAAACTAAAAATAAAAATACCACATGACCCAGCTATCCCACTACTGGGTATCTATCCAAAGAACTTAAAATCAATGATTCAAAGTGATTTATGTACCCCTACGTTCATTGCAGCACTGTTCACAATAGCCAAGACATGGAAGCAATCCAAGTGCCCATTCACCGATGACTGGATAAAGAAGATGTGGTATATACATACAATGGAATACCGCTCAGTCATAAAAAAAGACAAAATCATCCCATTGGCAACAACATGGATGGACCTGGAGGGTATTATGTTAAGCAAAATAAGCCAGACGGAGAAAGACAAACACCAGATGATTTCACTCATATGTGGAAGATAAACACACAGACAAAGAGAATAGGTCAGTGGTTACCATGGGAAGGGGGTTAGGGGGTGAGCAGGGGGTGAAGGGGAGCACTTATATGGTGATGGACAAGTAATAATGTACAAGTGAAATCTCACAATGTCATAAACTATTATGAACTCAATAAAAACACATACAAAACAAACAAACAGGAATTGTTTCAACTTACAGACCTACCTCCAGTCTAAAGCCTACCCTGAATCACTTCCCTTATGAAACTGGACCTGCTCAGAATTTTCCAAACACTTTTTACTACACTTGTCCTTGTTTTGTGGTGTCTTGTGCACGTGCCCTACTAAACCATGAGTTCCAGTGAAGAAAAAGCCCCATTTTAAGCGTCACTACCTCTTGCAAGGGCCTGGTACACCACAGGTGTTCTGTAAACATCCACGTGATGATTTTTAAATTACCTGGGTTGTAAGGCATGTCCATTTCATAATTTCCATATCTTACATTTGTACATATCCTATTTTCCTAAGAGACAGTCTTTAGAGTTGAAATCTGTGTCTACCACCAACTTATTACCTATATAGTTGGCTAATTTACTTCATCTTGCTTTGCCTTGGTGTCCTCATCTATAAAATAGGGGTGATAATGATAACCTCATAAGGCTGTTGTGATGATTCAATGAGTTAATGTGTGTAAGATGCTTTGAATATTGCCTGGTATCAAGTAAACAAAAATAAATACTAGCTAATATTTTTATTATTACCCAAACAATATTCTTGTCTTGGTAATTTCTCAACCTCTTGCAGAAGAACTTTCTAGGTTTATAAAAAGTACTGTATTATATGTATAGCCTATCCTCATTATTCACAGTTCCATATTTGCAAATTCAACTACTTGCTAAAATTTATTTGTAACCCCTAAATCAATACTCACAGTCACTTGCAGAAGTGCACAGAGTGATAAAAAATTTGAGTTGCTCGACACACATTTCCAGCTGATGTCAAACAAGTCAACCACACCCTGCCTTCTTGTTTGGGTTCTCATGTGGAGAAGATGGATGGAAAGGAAGAGGATGGAGAGGGTAGGGAGCAGAGCAGTGCAAGAAATTCTGGCTCTGAGCCAGCTGGATAGAGACTGAATTCCAACTGCAGCAACTGTTAGCAGGGCAGCCTCAAGCAAGTCACTTAACATTTCTGAACCTCATTTTCTCTTTTGAAAAATAAACAAAATACAATCTACTAGGATAAGTTGTTTTTAGAATTTAAGATTATAATCTACGTGAGATATGTATATGTGTGTATGTATGTATGTATATATATATTATATACCCCTTAGGACACTTATTTGCTAAATAAGTGTTCCAGGCAACTTTATAAAACTTAACTAACATGAATAAAGAGAATCAACTGTTTTTTTTCCTAATTAAAAGCCATAAAACTTCATCTTGTGAAAATATTTTCAGAATTCCATAACCATGGCTAAAATGAGAAGAAATACCTTTAGATGAAAAGAAAAAAAGATAGAAATTCTGGTTATAAATTTAGATTCTTCTGAGAACTCAGTTTAACAGAGGCTGATCATTTTCAAGGAACTCAGTAATAAGTATTATCTTAAAAACTATTACCGTGAGACTCCCAACTGCTTTTGAAATAAATTAGTTTACATACTTACAGAGCTCTTCTTAATTCTGAAATTTTATGATTCATGTGCATAATAAAAACATAAACACTTCCATAAAAGTCTTTAAATTGTAAAGCTGCTGCACGTTGGCTGACTTCCTTAAAATAAACATACCATTTCATATGTCCTAATTTTCTCTTGTAGGAAACTAATTTGCATTTTGAAGTCTTCTTTCTTTTTTTGATAATCTTCTAGTAGATGGTCTTGTTGCTCCAGTTGCTGCTGATGAGTGAGGATCTGTTGTTTGGCTTGTAGTAAATCTGCAGCTGTGTTACTATGAGTGCTGTTTCTCAGAGTTTCACTAGCCTGTAACTTGAAAATAGAAATCCCAAAGTATTAAATTCCGAAGTGACTGCACTAAGGAACAGACATCTTTTGAGGTATTACTCAGCCCACAATTGCTCTCTGGGAACTGTGCTGGATTCACAGGCTTGAGACCTCAACAAACATGCTGCCATGGCTGATCAGACAAGTATGAGCATACTATCCAAGCTGAACCAGTAAGATTATCTTTCCCATGACAAAGCAGAAAAAGTAGTCTAGTGAGAGGTAAGACTGAGGCAGACACCCAGAAGGAAATGGGTCCTGAAAGACAGTACTTTCTGAATTCCTGATGACTTTCTAGTTTCTGGTTCCAATCCCTCTCAGAGGCGTGGTTGTATTTCTGCCTGGAATCCTGTAAGATAAGCTTGTATCCTCACATTAAATTCCTCCTTTTTGCTTAAACCATCTCAAATTATTTTCTGTTACTTGCCATCAGAAACCTTGATTAATATAATTAGATTCCTATGGCTCTAATTAAAGTTAAGGGGAATATATTTAGTCTAGTTACCACTTTAGAATTTAACTAAAATAAAATCAAAACAGGGTTGGCAAAGGTAGGACGTGACTACAAGTTAATTTCTGCAAAAATCCACCCAATCAGACTTATGAGTTTTTGTAGGATTTCAAAACACAGACAAGGAAGAAATAGAAAGCAAATAAGAGCAAGAAGCCGCTCAAGAAGTCTGAATTAAATTCTTGATTAACAATAGGTATTTACTAGTGTTTCCAACATGATACATAATAAGCTTTTAAATACATAATGTCTTTTAAGAAAATTTACATTCATTCTTGAAAGTACGAAAAATTTTTAAAAATTCATTACTAAATAGCTAATAAATTTTGTTCTATTAGTTAACACTTACATGCTGGAATTGAATCTGTAATTTTTGACTTTGTTCTGTCAACTCTAAAAATTCTCTCATTGTCTCATCCTTTTCTCTTCTTGCTTGTTGTAAATTAGCAGTGAGCTGGGTTATGATGCCATCTCTTTGTTTAATGGCAGCTTCAAATTCTTGTAACTAAAAGACATAAGTGAAAATAGTAAGTGCTAGACATTTTCTTAACAAAATTGAATATTATTATAAGCAGCTGTTCTTCAAAAACATGATATTCAAAATGCATTGGCAGAATTATTACAATTTGTAAGCAATCTTTTCCATATTTGAAAGCTATGAGCTTTCAGGAATTAGTTTTACTTCCACATCAATTTTTTTTTTTAATAAAGATTGGCACCTGAACTCACAACTGTTGCCAATCTTTTTTTTTCCTGCTTCATCTCCCCAAATCCCCCTGGCCATGTCCACACCCAGGATCTGAACCGGTGAAACCCTGAGCCGCCAAAGCAGAGTATGCAAATTTAACCACTCGGCCACGGGGCCAGCCCCGACTTCCACATCTATTTTTTAAAAAATTACCTAACTGAGGAACAAAATACATTAGGTCTGACTTATCCATATAGCTATTTCTAGAAGGAAGGCTGCCTTTATATTTAGGGATGCCACAATCTGTTCATAGGTATAACCATCACAGACACATTCAAGCCTCAATTGTTGCTGGACAAGATGAAACTGGAATGTCTGTCACCCTCATCAATGTTCTATTTCACCTTATTTTCATAAGTGGCTACCACAAACAACAGATGTCATTTTCACCACAAGAGGTTATTCAGAAGGACTTGCTGACATTTTTAATGAGTTTAAGTCAAAACATTTTATGTAGTTTGCAACATAATTTTCTCTCAGGCTGCTTACAAAAACATCTATCCTACTGAAGTGATTTCAGCCTTAGCTACCTCATAAAGTTAAACAAAAGAGTTAGCATAAGTCCTATTAATGGAATCCTAGTTTTACGTGAGGTTGTTCATGATATATATAAGGATATACATTATAAGATGACTTTAACTTACCATTTAAAAACTCCATCTTTAAAGAATGTATACATACGATCATTCAAATTTCCTATTTTTGTTTTTGTGAGTAACAACCCAAAAGCCTACCTGCTGCAGTCCTTCAGTCCCATAGGTGGCCCTCATTTCTTCCAGTTCCCTGTTTAGCTCTTCAATCTCATGCTGTTTCCCAGCCAATTCATGTTCCATCTCCATGTGGGTGTGACTGAACTGTGCTCCATGTTCAGAAGAAGAATCATCAACACAAAATTCTTCTTCCTAAATCAATCCCAGGTTTTTAGTAATTCAGTACTAGCAACATTCCTCAGGAAGAGGGATTCAAAAATTGAATTCCATAGCAAAGTCTACTTTAAAACATCACTCATCACCTGGGAGTTTACTATATGGCAACCTAGGTATCTGCAAATTCTGTTACAATTGAGTTTTATAAGAAAAGATGGATAATTGTGTTTTGTTATACGTTAAAAGTATTTAGAAATCACACACAGAAAGAAGTACATGCAGGAAAAAGCTCTGTTAGTAAGCCAGATGATTTTAAATAGTATAAAACATTAGTATCATGAGTAGTTTTAAATACTGTACCCTTAATAAATTTGTAGGTTTTTCTGCTCTCACCACAAAGCTGCAACCATTTACCTGTATAAAAACAATTTCCTGATTTATTATGATTTTAGATAGAATTTTATTTAAAGCTAACCATGATATTTCTGCTAACTGTATTCACGTATCTTTTATGCCTAGGGAAAATGCCTCATTGGCAAAAACAGATACAGTGATCAAATTTAATCTAAGCATCTAAAAGACATTATGACCATTTCAAATGCCAATGATTCCTCAAACATTTGAGTACTTACAATGCAAAAGACACTGTACTATACATTTTCATTTAAATGAATTAAAGTTCTAAGTTCAGTTTCTACTTTGACTTCAGGAGGATAACTAAAAACCTCAAGTTACCAGATCCTCTTCTACAAAACGCTGCCTTAAAATCATTCAAATAATTTTTTTGATTAAGCCTTATTCATTTTAAAGTAAAACTGTTTACTGGTGCAAATTCATTGAAGGTTGGTAGGCAGTTCAAGAGTAGAAGGAGATGAAGAGGTGAGACAAGCTTCCCCAAGAACTTATCCCTGGAGGTAGTACTATGATAGCCATGCCAACCCTGATCGATGTGGAGATTTTCCATAACGTATTACTGCCTGTCTCTATCACAGACATTTTGTGGTAGGAGGAAGGAGGATGACAGACTATGTCTCCAGGATCAATCTAGTGGGAGATTAATTTCAGATCAATTATCTATTTAACAGTCCCGCCTTTCCCCCTAACAGTGCACAAATGAACTTCATTCCTGCCCACATCTTAATTATTCACAATTCCATGTTAATAGAATCCAAGATGAAGTTTTTACCGTTGAAATACATAGGACAAAATATCCTAGAATTAGGCTTAGATCCATATGAACCAAAATACTTTAAAAAGTGAAGATTCTAATTAAGAATTGTTTAGAGTTTGAATCCTTTGTTTTTTCCTAAGGATAATTTCTGAAAAACAAAGCTAAAGTTAAAGAAAAAAAAATTTTCACTTTACGGCAACACAATATTGCAATTTCTGAAAACTATCAAAGACAGAAGTGTTAACTCTATTATTAATATCAAGTCATTTGTAATAAAATTTGTAATTAAATTCGTCCAAATTTCAATTACTTTCTTGATTCTGAAATGAAGTATTTTGATAAGCATCTATTAAAATTTTTACTTTAGAGTAACAGTGTAATGGAATGGATTTTATGAATATCTTCAAACATTATAATAAGCAATATATCCTTTAAGTGGTGATGATATCACTATTACATGCTGGTTATCTATTTATAATAATTAATTATATTTAACATATTATGTAGCCAACAGTCAACTTAATTTTTCTCTAAATTAAGCAAATTTAACACCTGAACAACTCATATGTATTGGCTTCTTAAAATACTATATGACTGTTTTCAAAATTTAATCATATGTTACTATAATGGATATAAAAACCTTATTAATATTAATAAATTTTTAAAATACAATATCATGTAAATAGGTAATAAAAGATTATTCATCAGAACTAAACTAAAACAAACTATATTCCAAAGACATAACAGAAATACTGAATGGAATATTAGGGTCATTAATACTTAGCAATAAATTACTCTATTTTTTAATGTAGATAATTATTTTATTGATACCTAAAGGGTAAAGTATTTATCTCTTCTTCTTACCTTAGCCTTCTAACACTATACTTGGTAAACCATAATATGAAAGATAAATTAATAACTTGAAACATGATGATTAGATTACTACAGACTCCTTCAAGTGAAAAAAAGTTCAACTTTTCTTCATGTCCGTTTTTACTGTGGCACTTGTCAAAATTATTTAACCTTCAGGCTGTACTAATATATTCTTTCTGCATTCACAGATTTACTCAACCTGTACAGACAAATTGAAGATTTGGGAAAGTACAAGTAAGGTACATTTTAAACTTTAAAATGTTCTGTAGAGGTAAGTATCATCTCATAAAAATAACGCTATGCAGAAAGAATCAGAGGAAAGATCATTCTTATTTTATAATCATAAAATGGCCTTAACACAAAAACTTTTCCTTATAGTGGACATTAGTTTAAAAACATTAAAAAAAACCCTTACTATTTATGATTAATTCCTTATCCTTATTACACTTAATTTCACAGCATGTATATTAAAAAATATTAATAATGAATGTTTTAATAAAAATAAGAAGAATCTGACGGTTCATAAAAGTTCATGAAAATTACAGGAGTTCAATGTGCCTAGCTGACTCACAGAAGTGGAGCCAAGTAACTAACAAGGTTAAAATCATTCATTCAAAGTTAAAGTTGAACACCAAGCACCATACTGTATACCTTAAATATATATAATTTTTAATCATCAATTATACCTCAATAAAGCTGAAGCAGGGGAGGAGAAAAAGAAAATGAAGTGAAATTAAAAACAAAAAAACAAAAAAAATAAGTCAAAGTTGAATGGCTACACTTATATTACTTTATGGCTTATAGGCTATGTCTCCAACTCCAGTCAGTCATGTCATAAACGTCATGAATCATACAAGTGACTTGGTTAAGAAGTACTGAATAATAAGATAAAAGCCAATACGGGAGTATGTGCCCTACTCTCATTTCATCTTTCTATACATAGTAAAGTACGTTTATTTATCTGTCTTGTCTCTATATTGCCTGTAGCGTTCTCAACTTTCTCCAAGTAGCTCTTCTCAAGGGTAGCAATAAAAATATTTCATGTATATGGCATTCTGGATATGAAATGTCCCTTCATCAAGGACTGAACATATTATGTATAATTTAATTCTTAAGAGGGGTATTTTTTATTTAGTCTGATTTCTCTAGTATATGTAATTGGACATATATTTATACAGAACAGATCTTAGGTAGGGCAGAGAATAAAATTATCTGACTAATTCCTTTTAGACCTGAATCCATTTTTCAATCCAATGAGTATACTAGCCATAGAAGTCAAGAACATTAAGCACACACCATATCTATACACATAAAATTTCCAAACTAGGTTCTAATTAAATATATAATCAGAATCTAAAACTCCTCTGAGAATAATTTGTTAAAAGAATGTTCGTCACTTGTTTCATATAAACTTAGTGTGAAGAAAAGCATATTTCTACTGAGGCGTAGGAAAGAACCAGGATTTGCTGATTATCTTTTATATACCAAACACCATACTACATATTACGAAATAATCCTCAAAACCACCCTGTGAGGTAATTATCTTTTATATATCAAACGCCATACTAAATATTATGAAATAATCTTCAAAACTGCCCTGTGAGGTAACTCCCCCATTTTACAGGTAAGGAAACTGTATTTCAGAGTTTAAGTGATGTGTCCAAGTTCATACAACTTGGAGGTGACGAAGTTGAAATTTGAACACAGAACTTTCTGGCTCCAGAGCCCCTGCTCTTTTATATCACCTTATTTCCCTACATACCAGAAAAATAACAGTAATGTTTAGACAAAATACAAGATCATTATGTGGCCTATGATTAAAAAGATGTAATTTTGAAATTTTACAATCTTGGCTACAAACCAGAGCAGCCAAGATTACTAAACTTTGCAAATCTGGCATTTGTAGTGAAGTTATAATGTATGTGTTGCCTAGAAAGGAATTTCATTTCTGGGGGTGTTACTGAGAAATAATTTCTTAACAGTTTCAATATAAAGAGTATCACCATGTGAGATTTATACTTAGTTTATAAATTTGCCCTACTGATGATTCCTCTGCCTCCTGCCAGGGTGATAATGGCTTATAAGTCCCCTGTAATTCTAGCTCAGTCAAACCAGTCCAACATCATTAAATGGAGTACGGAAAGTCTTCAAACTAGCCCAGGGCAACACAGATTCAAGCAGTATCACTCTTAGCAATCTTGATGAGATGACATCAAACATTTCACAAACTGTCAACTTTTCTATGGTTTTCTATAGACACAGTGAGTATGTATGTTCCTCAAAGTATAATCCATTGTGAAACCAGGCTCAACGAGTACAATATTACAAGGGTTGATTGACATCAGGCCAAAAATCATTTCATAATTATCTCTTTTCAATGTAATCTTCTAAATCATTGTTTTTTCAAACGGTAAGTCAGTTAATCAATTTAGTTTTGTGATCAGCATTAAAGAGAAAAAGTATCAGAGGACATATCACACAGTAAAGGGAAATATCTTTCCTCAAATTTTTGTTTGAAAAAACTACATATGTATATGTGTATATAAACATTTATTCATGTACACAATTATTCACATATATAACTATATACGTATGTAACTATATATGTAAATCTATAAAATTACAGATACTCATACATATACATAAAATGTATTTCTTATTGTTGAACCATAGTCAACATGTCCTTTTATCTGTAGAAGTTATATTTTTAAGTTACTTGTACTTCACCTTGAAAGACAATATATTTAACTAGGTATCATAGGTAAGTAGTTTTAATACATTTTTTTGGACCTCATAATTCCTACCACTTTTTTTTGTGCTGAGGAGGATTCACCCTGAGCTGAGATCTGTGCCAATCTTCTTCTATTTTGTATGTGGGTCACCACCACAGCATGACTGCTGACAAGTGGTGTAGATCCACACCCAGGAACCAAACCTGGGCCGCCGATGTGGAGCACGCCAAACTACTAGGCCACAGGGCTGGCCCGCCACCAGTTTTTTAATTTAAAAAATTGAGGCAACAAATGTCTCAGTGTAACATGAATTTCTATTATTAACACTTTCACTAAAAAACTTGCAAATCACAATATTTTGATGTCTTTAGCTTTCAAATCTATCTTAATAAAAATTAAATTTTACTCTCTTATCCCAATGTGAGAAAATGGCTATATAAAATTTTAACCAAATTTCATAGGTATATGTGAGCTAGTCTGACCTGTAACCACCTGGCTTATAAAAAAAATTGCAAGCTGTGATTTTAAATCAAGATACTTCCCGTAGAGGCAACTTTATGTAGCCAAAATCAGGCACAAATTTATTTACTTAATGCCAGTTAATTGTTTTCCTGACCAGATTACTAACAAGTATGCTCCCAGCTTTTATACACATTAAACTTGTGAAGTGTCAAAGTTTTTAACTCCCATTAGCAATCAAGAACAGTAATATGTTTATTCAAGAACATGAAGTTACTTCTTTTCTATTAGAAACCTACAATAAATCAAAACATAAGGAATACACTGAGTTGAACCATTCAGAATAAGGAATAACTTTCTATTTCTATTTCTATTTCTGGGCCAAAGAAATAACAATCATATCTAAAAAAATAAGAAAAAGATAACAAAAATAACATTTATTACTGACAATAAAGAAGATTATTTCCTAAAGTGGCCAATGCTACATCAGCTTTTATCTCCTAAATTAAAAATCACTATTGCCACATTAACTTCAATAAATAAATTTATATAATTAGAATTCAAGCATTTACAAAAAGTATTATTCAAAACGAAACAGCCCATATTATGAAATGTTTGGTATGTTAAATATGAATACCTTATAACAACCATGTATTCTAGAAACCCAATATCAAACACTTTCCCAGAAACTAAAACAAGGCCTCTACCTAATGAAGCATCAGGCTATTCAAAGAGATTTAAGACCCTAGTTAATAATCTGACAAAAAGACATATCAGAAAAACATAATCTTCAGGTTTCCTAGGTCATTTACATTATAGTATGTTATGCCATGTTTTATTACATTTAGAAAAATATAGAAGCATGTGAGTTGCAAGAAATAAAGCACCAATAATCAATAATAGTTTCAAGAACAATATAAAATGTCAATCATAATATTATTTATTCTTACCTCTGAACTATAATCATCTGCTGTGGTTGAAATTTCACTTTCCGGCTAAAACAAAAGTAAAAACTAATTATATTAAGGTCCTTTCCCCTCTAAATATTACACTTTTTTATTAACCCATTACTAACAGTAACGTGATAGAAAACTCACATATAAATATCACTAAAAAAATAGTAAAAATTATTCAAATCTTGAAAAATTTCACTCTGATTATGAATCACAATGGCTAAATAACATATCTAAAATTTATCACTAGGCATTTTTCTAAATATAAAAGTATCAAGAGGTACTTTCACACAGGGTCTTGTATACACTACAAATCATTTATAAGACAAAAGCACCAAATAAGATATCATCCCTTTAACTCTTGTATCTCTTTTAAATACAAGAGAGTCCTAAAATGTTAGTCAAAAAAGTTTAATTTCTTCAAAAAGAAGAATCATCAAATCTTGATGCTAGAAAAGTAGTAACAACATGAAGAAAAATAACAACCTTTGTTGTTATTAACTCCTTCACACCTTACAAAGCACTTTCAAAGACATTCTTGTTTCATCCTTACATCCCTGGGATTTGGGACCCCACTGCTTAGAAGTACTAGGAAGAGTCCGGGAGGAAATCTAAAATCTCACCGTTCACCCTCTCATTTACTCTAAGAATCTCATTTTACAAGTGAGGAAACAGACTCAGATTTCACCTTTTCACTCAACAAATATGAACCATCACTGTTCTCATTTCTCATTTACACTTATGGAAATTTTATTTATCACACAAGACCAAGTTCTAAGTCCACCTCCTCTATGATGTAGTAACTGATGCCAGTAACGAAAATAAGCTTTACCCCTATTCTAAAAGTCTGTAGCAGTGGTTCCTAACTTATGTGGTCCTCCTTTAAATCTAAAATATTTTCATGACACAGGCCCTCAGAATTGATTCACTTATGCCTTTTAAACAGCTATTGATTAAATGCATACTGTGAACTAAAACTGTGGTACTGAGGATAAAATGGTGAACAGGATACTCTTTGCCCTCAAAATACTAAAACTCTAGTAAAGAGCCTAGACATTGATTTGCTATGCAGAAAAAGATAACGAATAAATCTTCAAACCAAATCAAGCATCAGAGTTGCCATATTATATTATTCAAAAGGTCCCAATTTAAAAATTGCAAAATACACAAAGAAAAAGGAAAGTATGGCAAATACACAAGAAAAATATCAGTCAGCAGAAACTGTCCCTGAGGTAACACAGATATTGGACTTTAATAGACAAAGACTTTAAACTAGCTATTTCAAAGATTTTATTTTTCCTTTTTCTCCCCAAAGCCCCCTGGTACATAGTTATATACATATATACACATTTTTTCAGTTGTGGGTCCTTCTAGTTGAGGCTTGTGGGACGCCCCCTCAGCATGGCTTGATGAGCTGTGCCATGTCTGCGCCCAGGATCTGAACTGGTGCAACCCTGGGCTGCCGAAGCAGAGCGCGTGAACTTAACCACTCGGCTACGGGGCTGGCCCCAAAACTAGCTATTTTAAATATAATCAAATAAGTGAAGAAAACAATATCTAAAAAACTAAAGAAAATTATAATACTCCCTCATCAAACAGAAAATAATAATAAAAAAAAGAACTTATAAAAGAACCAAAGAGAAATTCTGGAGTTAAGGTAGAATAATTGAAATGAAAAATTCAATAGAGGGGCTTAGCAGATCTGAGGAGGAAAAAGAAAGAATCAGCAAACTTCAATATAGTTCAATTGAAATTATCCAGTCTGAGGAAGGTAATGAAGAAAAATGAACAGAGCATCAATACCAACATATGCATAATGAGAGACCCAGAAGGAGAGAAAGGGACAGAAAAAATACTTGGAAGATATTCAAAAACCTCCCAAATTTGATGAAAAACATTAATCTACATATCCAAGATGCTCAACAAATTCAAGTAGGAAAAACTCAAAAAAGATCTATTCTTATGATGAGTAGCAAAATCTCTACTAACATCTCTGACCTCTTGAATAAAGCTTAAATCCCTATATATCTAAAGCTTTCTGTTTCCACATAAATATGCCAGGGCACAATCCAAATTACAACAATCATCTGCCTTGTCCAACACTCTTACTCGTAAACATCTCATCATTCTCTACTCCTGGTATTAGTTGTTGGCTCCACTATCCCACCTACCACCCAATCCACTCTTAACTTCTCCCTCATTTCCTTCTTCTGGAAAATTACATCCTTAAGGGAAGAAAATTAGCACTTCTTGAGAACTTTCTATGGGCCAGGTGCAATCTCCTGCCCCTCACCATTACCACCACCCCATCCTCAGCACTTTGTGATCCATTTAAACCTAAACTACTTATGGTTTCTAAATCACATCATGTCTTTTCAAATGCTGTTTCTTCTGCATAGAGGTTGCCTCTCCTACTTCTTTGCCTCTAAGCTAACTATAACTTACACTCCAAGGCTCAGTTCTATTTTCTCTTCCAGGAAACTTTCCCAAATGACACACACAAGCCTGATTTGGGCATTCCTCCAAATCATGGTAATCTAGTGTACCATGTACATTGTTGCTAGCATAGCTCTAATCAGAGTACATGACCTATCTTAAACCTGCCTTTCCCACTAGACTCAGTTTAAGAAACGGCAGAGACTGTCATATTAACCGTTGTACCCTTTGTGTTCAATCCTTGGTGCACTATAATTGCTCAATAAATCCTTGTTGAAACAAGCTCATAAAAATTGAACAGGGTGCTAATAAGTGTTGTCATACAACAACTTTCCACTTAGAATTCTAATGTTTAAAAATCTGGATGAACACTTACTTCAACAGAGAAAACCTGGTCATGTTTGATTATTTCTCCACCATGTAGAGGTCTCATTATTGTGGACTCAGGAGTCACAGCTGATCCTACTTTCTGAGAACTATTTATGTACATCTCATCATTCTGTGCTTGCTCAATATTCAAAGCATGGTATGCTGACACATCATGTTTACCGCTTGAAGTTTTCCTCTTTTTTTTCTGCTTCTTAGAAGGATTCTGCCCATCAGATTGAGCTTTCCTTTGTCGAAACTGGGCAAGCTACAGAAAAATAGAAATTGTCATTATCATCAAAGATCATTTTTCTTTATAATCACTAAAAAAAAAATCATTTTCAGAGTCACTTTCTTTAAAAGAACAAACCATCACTGAAATGAGGACAAAATAAAGGACAATTGTTACATTCTTATATTCTTTAATATAAGAATAACTGTTGAGGGGCCCGCCTGGTGGCACAGTGGTTAAGTGCGCACGTTTCGCTTCGGGGGCTTGGGGTTCACCGGTTCGGATCCCGGGTGCGGACATGGCACCACTTGTCAGGCCATGCTGTGGTAGGCATCCCACATATAAAGTAGAGGAAGATGGGCATGGAGGTTAGCTCAGGGCCAGTCTTCCTCAGCAAAAAGAGGAGGATTGGCAGCAGTTAGCTCAGGGCTAATCTTCCTCAAAAATAAAAAAGCAGAACAGCTGCTGAATTGCAAAGAAATTAGGTATTTCTGAATGCATGCTATTCAAATATTGAGACGTTAAGACCTGAAAATGTCATGTCTAAAGACAAAAACTTAGCCCAGAGTTGGATAGCATAAGGAAAACAAGTACTCTCATTCACTGAGAGTGTAATTGATGAGAGTGTAATCTCTGGATGTGAGATTATATGAAAATATAGGAGTTCTAAATATATTTGCTTTGTGGAATTTCTGGGACTTCTACTAGTTTATACTAAATGTAATTAATCCATGAAAAAAGACTTAGCTATACAAATGGTCACTGCAGCCTTTTTATTATGGTAAAAAATTAGAAATAATTTAAATATCAAACAATAGTGCTTCTCATCCCTTAATCATTTATATATCATCATCAAGATCTTTCCATTCCTAGTGCCACCTAGACTAAATCATTTACTTAGTACGTTTTAACTAGTGTACTTTTCTTATTTAAATTTATTTTAAAAGGAGACATTCTAACCCTGGTACATTTTCTTTTTAAAAAATAGTAAACAAAAATGAATACAATGAACCCCGAACAGCCAAAGCAATCCTGAGAAACAAGAATGAAGTTGGAAGCTTCAAAATCCTTGACTTCAAAATATACTACGAAGCTACAGTAATCAAAATAGCATAGTACTGGTACAAAAACAGGCACACAGATCAATGGAACAGAATTGAAAGCCCAGAAATAAAACTACACATCTACAGACAGCTAATCTTCAACAAAGGAGCCAAGAAATACAATGGAGAAAGAAAAGCCTCTTCAATCAATGGTGCTGGGAAAACTGGACAGCCACATGCAAAAAAAAAAAAGAAAGTAGACCATTACTTTCTCCATACACACAAATAGACTCAAAATGGACCAAAGACTTGAAGGTAAGACCTGAAACCATAAAACTCCTGGAAGAAAATATAGGCAGTACACTCTTTGACATCAGTCTTAAAAGGATCTTTTTGAATGCCAGGTCTACTTGGACAAGAGATACAAAAGAAAAAATAAACAAGCGGGACTTCATCAGACTAAAGAGTTTCTGGAAGGCAAAGGAAACCAGGATCAAAACGAAAAGACAACCCACCAATTAAGAAAATATTTGCAAATCATATATTCAACAAGGGGTTAATCTCCAAAATATATAAAGAACTCACACAACTCAACAACAAAAAAATAAACAATCCAATCAAAAAGTGGGCAGAGGATATGAAGAGACATTTTCCCATAGAAGATATACAGACAGCCAATAGGCACATGAAAAGATGCTCAACATCACTAATCATCAGGGAAACGCAAATCAAAACTACACTTAGATACCATCTTATGCCCATTAGAATGGCTATAATCAGCAAGACAAAAAAATAAATGTTGGAGAGGTTGTAGAGAAAAGAGAAACCACATACACTGCTGATGGGAATGCAAACAGGTGCAGCCACTATGGAAAACAGCATGGAGAGTTCTCAAAAAATTAAAAATAGAAATACCACACGACCCAGCTACCCTACTACCGGCTGTCTATCCAGAGAACTTGAAATCAACAATACAAAGAGACTTATGCCCGCTATGTTCACTGCACCATTATTCACAATAGCCAAGATGTGGAAGCAACCTAAGTGCCCATCAACTGATGAATGGATAAGGACGATGTGGTATATACAATGGAATATATACAATGAAATACTACATTAAAAAAAAAGACAAAATCATCCCATTTGCAACAACATAGATGATCTTGAGGGTATTACGTTAAGCAAAATGAGCCAGACAGAGAAAGACAAACACCAGATGATTTCACTCATTTGTGGAAAATAAACAAACTTACGGACAAAGAGACAGTTTAGTAGTTACCAGGTGAATGGGCTTTGGGGGGTGGGTACAAGGGGTGAAGGGGCACATTTATATGGTGACTGACAAATAACACTATACAACAGATATTTCAGGTTATAAACTATTATGACCTCAATAAAAGTAAAAAATGAATACAATGAAAAATAAAACTACATTATTACTATTTTAGTTATATATTATTGCTGAAGGTTATAAGACAAATAGGCAAGTGTTGGAGGGATATTAAGGACATATGAGCATCACAGACTTTTGGTTTGTCATAAGCAGGTGGACGTAAAAGAAACCTGGAAAGGTAATAACTTTCTTACAATACTATCCAATGTTATTTAATATTGGATCAAGGATATCATCTAAAATATCTTGTCACCACCTAAAATCAGAAGAATGCATTACATACTTTGGGCAATAATGGATTAGCTCAATTAAAATAATATTAAAGCAAACCATTGTTAATAAGAAAGATATTTATGACACAGTAGTAGGTATAAAATAATATTGCAACATAATCTTTTTTAATAAAAGGAAAATTAGGTGCACCTCTTTTAACAAAGGCAAGGCAGGCCTCAGGCTCACAGTCTTCAACAATTCTAACTAGCTTAGATTTTAATAACATTATACACATAGGCATGGACAAATCCTGGAAGAATATAACCATAATAACTTCAGTCTACCTCTGGTTTTGAGGTTACAGGTATTTTTCCTTATGCTCATTTGAAATTGCCTTTTTTATGGAATAAATTTTCTAAATTTTTTTATGAAGCAACTACTAACCACTGATTCCTAAATTTAATTTGAGTGCTCTGACCATTTGGGGAGGAGAGCTACAAAAGCATAAGAACAGGGGTAAGCCCCTTGTGTCCTAAAAAGAGAAAATATACTACCAATATATTAATTATATAACCATTAATTAGACCAATTACAAAGCTAGCCAATAATTTCTTATGATACAAAGTATTAAAGCAATCAATAACAATATTAACATCATTAACTATCAAAATATGTGACAAACATCAGAACCTAGAATAACATACAACATATTTATACTTACTTAGTTTGCTGTAGATAAAGAGAAATATATACATATGTAGTGTTTACTTAATAAGATGTCTAATTCATTTGTAAGAAATAGCTAGTCACAGCCCTTGTAGAATATAAAAATATATCACATTTAAATTTTTTTCTCAGTTATTTAGCAACTAGCTAGTTACTCTACCCCATGGTCTGCTTACGGAACAGATGCAAGACCAGTTGCTTCTATTTGTTCATTATTAAGCTGCTGGAATGGAGTTAAACTACTTTGGAGGATAGCAAATTCATTCTTAAAAATAAACCAAATAAACACTATTATATATATCATCTGTAAACAAAATCAAAAGTCTAGGCACATTATTTTTAAGATTCCTCAGAGAGAATAGAAAACCAAGAAAAATATTAACAATGACATTCTTGGTATTTATGCTCAATTTCAGAAATTTTTTAAATTGCATGTTATTATGTATTAGAAAATATATTCAGACAGAAGAAAATACCAGGATAAAGATGAAGATTTTGCTTAAAATTCTAACTGTTGGGTTATACATAATTTATATTTAGTATTTACTTATATATACAAATACATAACACAAAGGAGAAAACTAAAACTGCATTATAAAAAGTTTGACTTTTTAACAACACTTCTGTCTGAGATAACAGTATCCATTACTAAACAAACCAAAATGAAAAAGTTAATAATAGATAAATATGGAATAAAAAGTAGAACGGTCCTATTACAGTGTTTAGAACAAACCACTTCTAAGGACATAAAATTACCAAGAGAATGTTTTAGGCCTGTTACTGATTATAGGAAGTTATATTATTTTTTCAGAACAATTAACCAGAAGGTAAACCCCATGAGGGTAAGGACTTCTGTTTTGTTCACTGCTATATATTCAAAGTCTAGGACAGTACTCAATAAATACATGTTGAGTGGAAAAAAAGATAATTTATCTTTTACACAAAAGTCACCATTCAGTAATCATTTTAAGCATGGTTCCATAGTACCTGAGAATTAAGATGATATAACAGGCATATCTAACTCTATATAAACAAGTTCCAACATCTCAGAATTAAAATTAGCAATTAAATATCTTAAAACACAAAATAATCCTTCTCACCATAATCCTCTCCTCCACCAGACCAAAAAAAAAACACAAAATTTAATTCTCAAAAATAATACCCACAATGGCTTTTTAGCAAGAGTTCTGTTTTATAAAAATGTGAGAGAGGTAACAAGATCATCACATAAATCTAACTTCTTATAGCTATCAAAGCTATTTTTATTTTAAATCTTAAAAAATGGCAAGCTAGCAGATAAGCAAAAATCAGAAACTCTACTAAATTAGCTAATCATCTGATACTGAAATGCTACACTTTAAATTACTAGGAAAACATTTATTCCAAAATATGCTGGAAATTCATACTACAGCCATCTGTGTTTGCCATTTGGAGGCCAATTATAAAAATGTTAACATATGCAGACACAGAAACAGTTGCAAGATTTACTGGAAAGATATTATGTCCTCAAACACTTGTTTTTCAATACTGATTCAGATCTCAAGCAAATACCTCACCCTGACAAGAACATGAATAAATGACTAAACAGAAATGATTGATAGTTTATTTCTTAAATTCATTATTTATAACTTTATAAACATTAGTCTCAATAAAACAAGGAA